TAGTTATAATTATAAGGTATTCCATTCCTATGAATAAATAAATAAATAAAAACCCTAGCTTGAAAAGGATGGCCATTACTTGCTTCCACAAACCAATTCTCCAGATAGTATATGTGGATATTCAAATCATTCCTGCTTGATTTTAGAATAATATTTTTAAAAAGGAATCATATATAGTCATTGTGCTTTTGAACGGAGTTATATTGATGGCGAATTCAAAAAGTGAGACCAATTTGGATCAATTTATAGATGATCGGTGAATTAGACATATGGGTGCACATGAATTTTTCTTTTTTTTTTTAGTTTAGCTTACACGCATCATAACTAATTTTTTTTCAATCCAATCAAATGCAAGTTAATGCCGAGATTAACGTATTCACCTTATCAAAATTTAAACTCAAGACGTATAGGTGTCGAGCAATTGGCTCTCTTTGGTGGATGTTCTAGCCTGTCCACCAACCACCTTTGCTCATATCACCTAGATGGCGTATGTCTAGCACACAACAATTGCATCACCCCCAGTACAATAATCTCACCCTTGATCACTACCGTTTTCCTTTCTTCCTTGGAAGTTTCTTGTTTTTGCTTTGTATTATTATATCATATCCCCCCTTTTCGAACCAAGAGTGGGGTAAGCATTAAAGCTGTGAATCCAAGACAATATTTTCAATGTACACCTTTATTTGGTTTTCCATAATATTGCTGATAAATTATCATGTTATTCTTATTTTTACATGTGAACATCTTAGAATGTTCGATTAATTTTTGTGAATATATAGTNAGTTTCCTAGGACAGTAATAGGGGGGGAGGACTGCAAATGAACTGTTAATTGATCCAATTATTGTTGAAGCAATGGTAGTAAAGATGGCAGCAGTATGAGCTAAAGAAGAACACTGGAGCTATGAAACTATTGAAGGTGACACAAACAATCATCCCTGCAGCAATGCTGTATAACTACAAAGCACACTGGTCAATTGATGTGATCATTCAGGAATTGAAATTTATGCTCAGACAAAACAATGACTGGAGGCTAGCTCACACCAACAAGAATGCCAACACAACTGCTCATCATCTGGCAAAATGGGACATGACAAGCCAATACAGTGGAGCACTGCAGCTGAATGATATCCCCTACATAGTAAAGAATAAAGGTTTTAATAACAAAATCTCTATACTTTCCCCAGAGGAAGATATAGTAGTAGGCAGTAGTAGTGTAGCTTAGGTAGTATCTTTACTTTGTATCTCTTTTTCCTCTAGTCAACAAAAAAAAAAGGTAGATTTGTTAGTGGTCATATTTTGCTGTAGTTGATAAATTTTTGTTTGTTTAGCAATATACAGTAGTTATAATTATAAGGTATTCCATTCCTATGAATAAATAAATAAATAAAAACTCTAGCTTGAAAAGGATGGCCATTACTTGCTTCCACAAACCAATTCTCCAGATAGTATATGTGGATATTCAAATCATTCCTGCTTGATTTTAGAATAATATTTTTAAAAAGGAATCATATATAGTCATTGTGCTTTTGAACGGAGTTATATTGATGGCGAATTCAAAAAGTGAGACCAATTTGGATCAATTTATAGATGATCGTTGAATTAGACATATGGGTGCACATGAATTTTTCTTTTTTTTTTTAGTTTAGCTTACACGCATCATAACTAATTTTTTTTCAATCCAATCAAATGCAAGTTAATGCCGAGATTAACGTATTCACCTTATCAAAATTTAAACTCAAGACGTATAGGTGTCGAGCAATTGGCTCTCTTTGGTGGATGTTCTAGCCTGTCCACCAACCACCTTTGCTCATGTCACCTAGATGGCGTATGTCTAGCACACAACAATTGCATCACCCCCAGTACAATAATCTCACCCTTGATCACTACCGTTTTCCTTTCTTCCTTGGAAGTTTCTTGTTTTTGCTTTGTATTATTATATCATATCCCCCCTTTTCGAACCAAGAGTGGGGTAAGCATTAAAGCTGTGAATCCAAGACAATATTTTCAATGTACACCTTTATTTGGTTTTCCATAATATTGCTGATAAATTATCATGTTATTCTTATTTTTACATGTGAACATCTTAGAATGTTCGATTAATTTTTGTGAATATATAGTCTCTCCCTCTTATATCTATACGATGGTTATATGATAAATCATTGGAAAGATCTCAATAGAAAACGAGAATTCAATGCCAACATAACTTAACAGTGTGGACTTGCAACTAACTTATCTACGCCTTGGGTTCATCCGATTAGGGTGCGCCTTTAGAGAGCAAAGACACACTAGATTGAGGAATCATCTCAATCAGTGCACATTGATTTCTAATTGATGGGGCAAATATTGTCGTAAGGACAATAACAAAGTAACACTTCTTAAGCCATCTTACCGTCGTCTTTTTCCACCACAAAAACTATTGCACCAACAATGATTTCATTCATTTGAGACGAAGATCGCAAAATCTCAACCATATACACCATTGTTACAATAAAGCTTGACAGTAGTATTCTCTTTTGGGTTGCAAGCCCACCTGCTGTTTTTTAATAATAAAACTTTTGCAGACTAAAACAGAACAGCTTGATTGTTGACAAGATTTGGACTCCAATGCTTTTTCTCATTTCCATTTGAGGCTGAAACAGCAGAGGCCAAAACTATCTTGTCCCACTTCACAATAATNCGCAAAATCTCAACCATATACACCATTGTTACAATAAAGCTTGACAGTAGTATTCTCTTCTTAAGCCATTTGAGGCTGAAACAGCAGAGGCCAAAACTATCTTGTCCCACTTCACAATAATGGTACTGCTAGCAGTATTGCACCATGCCTCACACCACGAGACACAGGCCTTTTCTACGGAAGTATTTTCAGCCATGGAAAGTGTTTATCCCTGTCATCTATCTGTGCTGAGGAAATGAAACAAACTGGACCCCCAGATGCTTGGATGATGTGTCGCTCCCTCAAGATAACATGTGTCTCTCGAAAGACCCAATCGAGCACATCTATCTCAAAAGGTCAACAATTGGGTATAATGTGTGATTGATGTTTGTTTGTCGATTTACTTGAGGCATAGGCATAGACAGAACAGAGATTAGCCCTTGCATAAGCATCAGATGAAAGTCTAACTCTATAAATCGACAATTTTCTTTTCTTCAATATACATAAGGTACCTTTGTAGCTCTAGAGAGAAAAAGACTACTTATTAGCGTTGCAACAAGTGCTTGCCCATGGGCCCAAACTATATAAGAAATCAAATAGCATAGCATTTGAGTGACTATGATCTGTTGCATTATTAAGACTCATGATTTAGATCCTTTTAATATAACTTTCATTTGGAGTGAACATAGATATTTCTATGAAATCAATGTAATCTGCGATCTATATCTCTCCTTGCATTAGAGATTTCAGTGTCAAATAACATAAGGAGCGTTTACTAGGTTGCTGCAGCGCTAAATATGTGCTTATTAGGTTCCATAGCTTTTGGAGGCCATTTGGTGTATTCATTTCTTAGCTTGCTCCGAACCCCATGTCTGGCACCATTTGTGGTAATGAACCTGCAGGCTGACTGAAATGATTGACTACCTTGTCAAGCCAGTTTTATCATGAGGAACTGAATGAAACCGACACTGCAGATTACTATCAAAAAGAAGAGGCAAGTAACAAGTCATGGGAGCTTTTGCAATGACATCAAAATGGGTAGATCATGAATCCTATCTAATACTACAAATTTGAAGCTTCTTTTCAGAAATTTCAGTTGCATTGCATTGCATTGATTTAAGGAGAGTTAATGAATTCTCTTTCGCATTCAGTAAGATGAGCAATGAATTCTTACAATGTAAGTACTTGTTGAAGGCATATATATATATACATGAAACATAATCATTGAACAACTGACCAATGCTTCTCTTTGTTTATTGATCATATGTGTGTAGCTTTATGAAACAAAAGATTTAAGCATCCCCGGTCAAAAAATTAAAGCTATATATATGTTTGCTTCTTGTTTGTTTGCTTGAAAATTCACGCAATATTCCTTGTTTTGCTGACAACTTGGTGCTTCATCGTATATGCCAAAGCATTGCTTTTCAACTTGGTCAATGCAACTAANAGAACTTGAATGGTGCTTCATCGTATATGCCAAAGCATTGCTTTTCAACTTGGTCAATGCAACTAATACCTAAGTTCTAACCTTGCAGGCCACAAGCTTGTACAAGATTTCATGCCGTCCTCAGATCCACATCCTATTTTGATTTTACATCTTCCACCATAAAGATTTACGAATATTATCAACCTCTATTCATCGCACCAACAATTAAGCAAATTGATCACCCAAATAGCCCGATGACACAATACCTTAAGAGAGAATAGTGGACTCACTCTGTCTAGCAAAATATGAAAACTTTGGATGATTAATTAGTATTTCAATCTGCCGCCTTTTACACATCATGACCCCTATACAGTAGCATATGCATGATAGCTTAGCTACAGATATCATCCATATGCTAGAATTTGATCCAAATGAAAATGAGAAATTGAACTTCAAGAAGATAGCCCTGAGCCATGACAATTATGAAGCCTGGAAAGGAGGCATAGAACAACAAAAATCGTGAGACTTAAAACGCCACTGTTTCAGAAAAAGTATAAGAAAGTTTGGATGTGTTGGGATTCTAGGGAATTACAATTCTGGCTCATCTGCATCTGGAGTCAAGCATGAGAGATAATGGCCTCTTTTTATACTTTCAACCCTCTCTTGTAACTACTAACCAATGCTCAAACACGTACGCCCGACGCACTTTGGCCATATCTGGCCCTTTTTATCTTTGATCTGTACATTTATTTTCAGATGCATATAATGATATAGAAAAGGATAATTGTTTGCTATTTTGTTTTTCGCACGCATTCATACATGTCCTGTAAATCACAAACTGAAACACAAGAGAGAGAGTAGAATTTTCTTAGACGAGAATGCTGCAAGGGCGGTCTAAATCGTTGCTATTTCAAAAACTAGCTCTCGAAGAAAACGCCCGAGAAGGGAATGAACAACGAGGTCTCCTTAGCAAGTGCCTTTTCATATGCATCAACCATGCCACCACCTTCAATGATGCCATTCACGCAAGAATGGTAGTAGTCCTTGATTTTCTTGAGGATGATGGACTTCAGCAGTCGGACTTTTCTGTGTAGTCTTACTAGAACAAATCGTATGCGGGGAGTCTTTCTCTCTCCTCCGAGACGCACCGTGGTCAGTTTCTTCCTCTGCAGTAGACTGGAACCACCGCAGAGGGTGGTCTTCAGTNGAACTGGAACCACCGCAGATGGTGGTCTTCAGTCAAGATTTTTGTTTATTCCAAATTAAGTTAAACATTTATAAAACTAATAAAATACAAATATAAACTTATAAATATATATAAAATAATACAAATGTAAACTCGTAAATTTTTAATTGATATGATCAGACATTTTCTGTAAACTGACTAAACTTCCAAGTACATCAATTTTTTTAGTCGGGAAAAATCAACACAGAGACCTTATTGACCATATCTTAGTACAGTCTTCATCATTGACAACAAGTCATATTCAAGTGATCAGTGAAAAAAACAAAAGAAACAACCAGGGTCATAACAAACAACGAAAAACATGATAATATAAAAGTTTGTTACAAGTGATGAGACTCCTTGTACAAACAGAAATCTCAATGNTGTTGACCATATCTTAGTACAGTCTTCGTTATTGACAACAAGTCATATTCAAGTGATCAATGAAAAAAACAAAAGAAACAACCAGGGTCATAACAAACAACGAAAAACATGATAATATAAAAGTTTGTTACAAGTGATGAGACTCCTTGTACAAACAGAAATCTCAATGTAACATGGTAAGCAAATAGAAAATACAAGCATAACAATGACTTTTTTAATAATGCACCTTCCACAAACATCCATTTTAAGACACCAAAAAGCGACCCAAACTAGAATGGGTCAATCACAAACTCCCTCTGGAGTGTTAATCGAACACCNCCTGTACAAACAGAAATCTCAATGTAAAATGGTAAGCAAACAGAAAATACAAGCATAACAATGACTTTTTTAATAATGCACCTTCCACAAACATCCATTTTAAGACACCAAAAAGTGACCCAAACTAGAATGGGTCAATCACAAACTCCCTCTGGAGTGTTAATCGAACACCTCTGAAGTGAAATCAAAAGTTAAAAACATCCCAAACTAAAATGGGTCAATCACAAACTCCATCTAGAGTGTTAATTGAACACCACTGAAGTGGAATTCAGCGTTGAAAACATCCCAAAGGCTCCCAATGATGAGATAGTACAGGTCACAAAGACACCAAAAAATGACCCAAATTGAAATGGGTCGATCAGAAACTCCTTTGGAGTGTTANACATCCCAAAGGCTCCCAATGATGAGATAGTACAGGCCACAAAGGCACCAAAAAATGACCCAAATTGAAATGGGTCGATCAGAAACTCCTTTGGAGTGTTAATTGACACCTCTAAAGTAGAATCAAGAGTTGAAAATATTCCAAAGGCTCCGAGAAAAGAGATTGCAATTCGGCATAAAGAATTTAATAAAATATTCGAAAATTTGAAAATTCATTGAGATGATCTCAATTTATTTTTTCAAAAATCATCATAACTACCGGGGCATCAAGTAGACTCAAGCAAGGGCGTTGGTCGTTGACATTAACACACCAACAGTCTCCGGATTACTACTGTTGGGAAAGGAGAGTCTTGTGGACAGATCAGTTCCATCAACTAAAAGGTTAGCAAATGTATGCTGGGCTGGGTTGGGTTGACTCTAATAAATTTTTTTTTTTCTTTTACCCTGGGCTTTAGCCCACTAACAGTTCCGCCCTTGGTCGTATGGGTGGGATTTTTGTTTTTGTTCAAGGTATTGTGATATGAAGCCATGAGAGACGGTGGAGAGGATCCTAGTTACTCTTCGGGATGCAGTGAAAGAATGTAGGGGACTCTCGAACGCGGAAAAGGATCCGAAGGAATTGAATGAGGAGAAGGGAGAAGAGAAAAATTGGCTAAATCGGAACTCAAAAGGCTATAGTAACTTCGCTTTAGTTTTATATACATATCCACATGGTATCATTTTACATTACTTATTAGGCTAGTGCCCGGCCGGCTGATCTTCGTTATGGCAACTTTGTGGTATTTAAATCACCACCTTTACTATCTCAACTACTATCATTTTGTCCCTACTACTAATTGTTATGGTTTATGTACACTTTCTTTCATGATTGTCACCATTTCAGAGTATCAAAAATGCCGATCATGTAGCATTTTTCTAAACGACATTCATTAAGCGACAGAGGAATCATTATAACAAAAATGGCATTTTCCAGGTACTTAATTGTCCGCACTAGACAAAAAATGCCAGAAAACGTAGACTTTGTGGGTAATCTAGTAATCCTGTGCTACAAAATCCGAAGAAGAAGAAAGTGTAGAATTGTTATAGACAGTAAAAGTGTCAGGCATATCATGTCGAGATGTTATCTTAAAAAAAAAAAAAAAAGTAATGTTATTGAGACCTAATTTACTGTGACGTCTGAATTGACCGTGGAACCCATCAAACATTAGAATTTGGTGTTGATCCAATGCTTCTATTGATGCCACATCATTATGTCAGCAAATTAGGTTTAGGTCCAACTAGTATTACACAAAAAAAAAAAAATTCTGATTGAGATGAACATTTGTTAGAAGTCTTGGAATTATAATTTAAAATCCGAATGAAAATGAGAAAGTGAACTTCAAGAAGATGGCGGAGCTATGACAACTTTGAAGCCTGGAATGTAGATTTGTGAACTACTGACAAAAGGATTTGGAACTTTAATGCTCGAGTTAGTTATCTCGTTAAATCTGGATACTTTGTAGCCAGAAACGAGAAGAGTTCCAAAAGGTCTAACGAGGGGAGTACGTCCTTTGTTCCACATTCGAAGTTATGGAGTTCAATTTAACAGATGAAGATCTCTCCAAAGATTAAACATTTGTGATAGAGGTTGTGTAAAAATGCTTTGGCAATACCACTAGATTTTTATTTTTGGTTTTATTTTAATAAATGACATAATAAAATATGAATTTTGATATAAAGTTTAAAATATCATCTCTGATTAGAGTATTTTTTTGTCTAAATATAATATTTTAAACTTGAGAAATCTAAATATTACATACTTAAAAATTTTAGGGGATCTGAGTATAATTTACTAACCGATTGATTATCAGACATTGACAACAAGGGTCTAAGTATTACACGTGTACAAACTTTAGGGAGATTGTGTGTAATATTTTAAATGCAGAGTATCTAAATGATTAAGTAATAAATCTCATGGGATCTAAATATAATTCTCCCCTAATATAATGCTGTTTAATTTTATATGCTGAGGAGCGTTCAAAATAATTTGTTAAACTCCTTTTTTTTTTTCTTTACCAAGCTGTGAAGGACTCTAGGCTTCAGCAGAAAGAAACTTGGTCTATCCTACCTCCTCTTCTCTAGTTTTGTATGCATACCGTTAAACAAAATAAACACCAAAATTGTGGGCTATATGAAAATGTCCTAATGGAGTGGTTTAGTCACTGAGGTGGTGTTTGGATGGCCGGATTTAGGGGATTAGAGAGAGGATTGGGTTAAAATAGTGAAGGCCCACAAATCCCTGGTTTGGCTAGAAAAAATGAGATGGAATTTTCGTTGTGAATTAAAAAATCGGTCGTAGTGTTTCAACCCATTTATCCTCCACGAGGCGGATAGTTGAAACCTATGGAAAGTTTGGGATTGTGAAGTTAGTGGGTAGGATTAAGCGTAAAATTACATAAAAAAAACCCTCCACAGTTATTTTTTTAGGAACTCATCTACTCTCCATTTCACTTTCACTTTCAGCCCCTGGTCCCCTCTCTCTCTCTTTCTCTCCCTTTTCTTCGGCTATTGTTGTCTGTGGTGTATGAAACTCTTTAGCAAAAAAAATAGATCATCTTGAAGCGGTTGGATGAGATTTGAACTGCTCTATCTTGCGATCTGATTTGATCTTTGTCGCTCTCGATCTGCTCTCTCTCTCTCTCTTCCTCTCCCCTTTCTTCGTCTATTGTTGTTTGTGTGGTAAGGATCTCTTTTTTTTTTTTTCCCCTACATGCTTGTTAATGTTGGTGAAACCGCTAGTTCAACCCAAAGGCAAGGACCTTTCCCAGCTTTTTCTTCTTCTCCATACTCATCTGCATGTGGACTGAAGTACGAGAGATAANCTCTAGTTTTGTATGCATACCGTTAAACAAAATAAACACCAAAATTGTGGGCTATATGAAAATGTCCTAATGGAGTGGTTTAGTCACTGAGGTGGTGTTTGGATGGCCGGATTTAGGGGATTAGAGAGAGGATTGGGTTAAAATAGTGAAGGCCCACAAATCCCTGGTTTGGCTAGAAAAAATGAGATGGAATTTTCGTTGTGAATTAAAAAATCGGTCGTAGTGTTTCAACCCATTTATCCTCCACGAGGCGGATAGTTGAAACCTATGGAAAGTTTGGGATTGTGAAGTTAGTGGGTAGGATTAAGNCCTTTGTTCCACATTCGAAGTTATGGAGTTCAATTTAACAGATGAAGATCTCTCCAAAGATTAAACATTTGTGATAGAGGTTGTGTAAAAATGCTTTGGCAATACCACTAGATTTTTATTTTTGGTTTTATTTTAATAAATGACATAATAAAATATGAATTTTGATATAAAGTTTAAAATATCATCTCTGATTAGAGTATTTTTTTGTCTAAATATAATATTTTAAACTTGAGAAATCTAAATATTACATACTTAAAAATTTTAGGGGATCTGAGTATAATTTACTAACCGATTGATTATCAGACATTGACAACAAGGGTCTAAGTATTACACGTGTACAAACTTTAGGGAGATTGTGTGTAATATTTTAAATGCAGAGTATCTAAATGATTAAGTAATAAATCTCATGGGATCTAAATATAATTCTCCCCTAATATAATGCTGTTTAATTTTATATGCTGAGGAGCGTTCAAAATAATTTGTTAAACTCCTTTTTTTTTTTCTTTACCAAGCTGTGAAGGACTCTAGGCTTCAGCAGAAAGAAACTTGGTCTATCCTACCTCCTCTTCTCTAGTTTTGTATGCATACCGTTAAACAAAATAAACACCAAAATTGTGGGCTATATGAAAATGTCCTAATGGAGTGGTTTAGTCACTGAGGTGGTGTTTGGATGGCCGGATTTAGGGGATTAGAGAGAGGATTGGGTTAAAATAGTGAAGGCCCACAAATCCCTGGTTTGGCTAGAAAAAATGAGATGGAATTTTCGTTGTGAATTAAAAAATCGGTCGTAGTGTTTCAACCCATTTATCCTCCACGAGGCGGATAGTTGAAACCTATGGAAAGTTTGGGATTGTGAAGTTAGTGGGTAGGATTAAGCGTAAAATTACATAAAAAAACCCTCCACAGTTATTTTTTTAGGAACTCATCTACTCTCCATTTCACTTTCACTTTCAGCCCCTGGTCCTCTCTCTCTCTCTTTCTCTCCCTTTTCTTCGGCTATTGTTGTCTGTGGTGTATGAAACTCTTTAGCAAAAAAAATAGATCATCTTGAAGCGGTTGGATGAGATTTGAACTGCTCTATCTTGCGATCTGATTTGATCTTTGTCGCTCTCGATCTGCTCTCTCTCTCTCTCTTCCTCTCCCCTTTCTTCGTCTATTGTTGTTTGTGTGGTAAGGATCTCTTTTTTTTTTTTTCCCCTACATGCTTGTTAATGTTGGTGAAACCGCTAGTTCAACCCAAAGGCAAGGACCTTTCCCAGCTTTTTCTTCTTCTCCATACTCATCTGCATGTGGACTGAAGTACGAGAGATAATGACTGATTTCCTAGGCCTGTTACCATCGTTTTGTATATTTAATTCATTTCTTGTAAGTTGTGACTAATGCCAGAACCCAGCTTGATGCACTTTTGACCAGAACTGCACTAGTAAATTAATTTCATTCATATTCGTATATTGAAGGTAAGGTTGTTCAGTGTTGATTTGAATTAATTTCATTCATATTCGTTTATTGAAGGTAAATTTCATTCATATTCGTTTATTGAAGGTAAATTTCATTCATATTCGTTTATTGAAGGTAAGGTTGTTCAGCGTTGATTTGAATGTTATAAGTTTGAGTTATAAAAATAAAATTGTACACATATAATTTTCTCCAGATTCCATGATGGTCAGAGCTTGTGTTTTGGATAAGTCTATTAAATACAATAATTAATCTTCAATTAACTTAGCACGTTTTTCTCTCTCCAAACACAGAATTGCTGGTGAATTTTTCATGAAACGACTAGGATTTATGTTGTATCCACCCTTTCAAAGCATACATCACACAGCAGCTGGTTAAGGTAGAAAATGTAAACTTATTTGCTATTTTGTATTTCACAATCACACATATTCAGTGTTACACAAACACAAACAGAAACAGGAGAGATAGAGAGAGAGAGCGAGTAATTATTTTTAACTGGAGGATGCGTCAGGGGCGGTCTAAACCGTAGCTGGTTGGAATACTACTGAAGGACAGACCCATGACGGGTATGGCGAAAGAAGTCTCCAGAAAAAGTCTCTGTTGATACGACTCGATGGTCGCACCGCCTTCAATGATATCTTTCACCAAAGAATGATAGTAGTCCTTGAGCTTCTTGAGCATGCACGAGTACTTGAGCTTTAACCATCGCAGTCGGACTCGCCTGAAAAGTCTCACCAAGAAGAGTCCTCGGCGGGTTTTCTTTCCTCCCAGCCGCATCGATGGCGGTCTCCGCCTACGTAATGGTGTTCTCCGGCGGCTGGACCACCCAAAGACGGTGGTCTTATTGGTGTGGGACTGGTGTTTGTTGAGGGTATTTTGATCTGAAGCCATGAGAGGTGATGGTGGTGGTTGGGAGGATTATGGGGGGAAGAGAATGAAACTGAGATAAGAGGAGAGTTGACCATATTATAAAGCCAGGGCAACTTTTGCTTTAGTTTATTAAGATCCACATGGTATTACTTACAGAAGGAACAGTGTATTGTCTTCCATCGTCATGGGCCTCATGGCATTTGGTGGCTACATTTAAAACACCATATTTAATATCTCAACTAATAATACTGCAATAATGATCTACGCAACCCATCGCTCTGGGGTCACAGTCATGGATGAAGTGGTGCCACATTTTATTGGAAAAGGTTTCCTGCATAAAAGATGGTTTGATGTTATAATCTATCATTAAAAAAAGAGTAATCCTACAAAAATTAAATAAAAGAGTAATGTTACACTGACTAAATTTTAGGATCAAATTTAGAGTACAAATGATATGAAATTCAAAAAGTTGTAACTCAAATATATATTCTTCTTTGGATGAGTGGATCTCATCAATTTTTTCAGTGGCACTCACTCTACTCACACTTTTAAATTTTTAATTTTTGAGTTTCATTTAGATTACTTAACATTTTTTTGGGTGGTGGGAGGGGTTGAGAGGGTGAAGAAGTTCGATCATGTTGAAGTATGTACAAAATGGTGTGGGACAGGGATTTTCTCGTTTGGGAGGATAGGGATGTGATGGGTGTGTTTACCTTGTTCAATTGCAACATGGTGCAAATTTATGGGAGAAAATTTTGTGAGTTTAACCCTTCAAGTGGGACTCACACACTGTTATATGGGGTGATTACACTGGATGATAGGTTACCACAAAATTAATTTGTGGGACATACAAATTAACTTTTTTAGAAAAAAAAAATGAAAAATTAATAGATAACACTAATTCATTGAGAATATATAATATATAACCACTAAACACCGTGATGTGATGTNACGGGGTGCGTACACTGGATGATAGGTTACCACAAAATTAATTTGTGGGACATACAAATTAACTTTTTTAGAAAAAAAAAATGAAAAATTAATAGATAACACTAATTCATTGAGAATATATAATATATAACCACTAAACACCGTGATGTGATGTGTTAAACCAACATAATACTAAATACTATACTAGTAGTTCTATACTACTCCTTGAAGAGACCAGGGCAACCTTATCGGATATCACGTTGTCTAACCAGTTGAGGCAAATCTTCTGTGTTTAGGAACCTTTTGTACTACATGGACATCCCCCATTTTGTTAAGAGTATGTGCAGCCTTGTTGGTCTCTCTGTATGAGTATATCATGACCCAATCAGCGTAACATAGCCCCAAGGACATCCTTGGATTGTACCCATAGAGCTACATTTCTTGCTGCTAGTGCTTCAGCAATAGTAGGATCTTCCTCATTTTCTTGCGTCACTATCACTTCTAGCACTTCTCCAAATTCATTTCTTGTTATAGCTGCCAGACAGGAACCATTTTTCCCCATACATGCATCAAAATTGACTTTGATCCCTCCCTCAATTGGTCTAGACCAGCAACATTCAGAAATGTGTCTTTCTGAAAGTCCATTATTCTTTGGGATATTGAATCTTGCTTGCTGGAATTCAACAAAAACCTGCATAGTTTCATTAATAACTTGTATTAGGTCTAGTTTTGCCCCGCCAAAAAGCACTCTTTTTCGCCACTTCCGTATGATTGTGATAACTAACGCTACAAACTAAAAGGAATTTGTATTGCCAAGGGCTACAGTATCCAAAGGAAAGAGTGGGGTTTAACCTATTATGAATCCAATCTTGAATGCTAAAGTGGGTGAAAGACTCTGTACGGAAGCCCCATTTCAAAAACCAGATTGATTGGGTTATAAGACAGTAAAAAAATCGTTTCAACTGCATGTTGACAGAGTGGATAAAATGCATCAACAATTGAGAATCTGCTTGCAAGAATGTTCTTTATTGGGAGGCTCTTTGTGGCAACTCTCCACATAATCATTTTCTGTCTTTCATGTAGAGGGGTGCTTCAGCATTTGGTCCAATCTAATTTAGTGAGCTAGTCTCTTTCTTCATCCAAAGTTTCCTCTTAGCTTGACAAAGGCAGATTTTGTAGTGAAAATTCTAGAAGATGTTGGAATCCAGACCATATAGTCTTCTGCTTGAAATGGGGACAGATTAATCTTCGTAATTGCTTCAATTGTTTGTTCACTAAAGAGTGTTTGAAGGAATTCCAAGTTCCATGAGCGTTTACCATGATTGATGAGGTCTGAAACCCATACGGGTAAAGCCTCCACTTCATGAAAGAATACCTAAAACAATATTTCCTTTTATATTTGGGAGGACCGTAGTTTAGGCTGATGTGACACTAATTGCCATCCCAATTTGACCATAAGTGGACACATTAAATTACAATCAAATTGAGTGGCTCAAACTTGAGTTATGTGTCTCATTCTTATATGTCATGACCTTTACGATAATAAATATAATATATATATATACTAGTTATTATACGTGTCTAAAGGCACAGAATAATAAAAAATGATAAATAATAAATATATTTATGATTTATATCCAAAATTAAATCATAAACATAGAAAAAAAATAAAAAAATTTAAGTATCGATTTATAGTAGGGGTGAAAGGTGGAGGGCGACAATAGTGCTGGTAGGAAATGGTGATGGTTGTGGTGGATAGCAATGACCAGGGTGGCGGTGACAATGGCATTGGCGGTGGTGGTAGTGGCGGCGGCGGTGGCGGTGGGGGGTAGAAATAATGGTTAGACGATTTCAAACACTATTTTTTTTTTTAAGTATTTACGGGAAATAATTTTTAAAAGTACTTTTAAAAAGTCACTACAAACACACCCTTACGTACCTATTTTTCCTATTAAATTTAGGGTGTTATTATTAGCCGTTAGACAAAAATGCCCACAAAATTTCTTTTAAGCTAATAACAAAAAAAAAATACAAATAAAACTCTTTCATAAATAATATCCATGTTGATCTCTTGTATTTGAAATATGATTCATGCCAATATTATAAAATAAATTATTTCTGAAGTACTAGTTAGGGGAAATTTGGTGTCTCACCCCTTTTTCGGTCTAATATACAAAGGCTTCAAAAAATAAAAAGAAAACATTTTTAGAGTGGGATCTGGTCACAACCAAATCCGTTCATTTTTTGCCACAATATTGCAATATTTATCTTTGAAGTGTGCAACTTTCATATTTTAAGAGTGTTTGCATTTGAAATAAAAGTCAAGTGTGTAAGGTGATCTACCCTTCCTTCACTGTTGAATATTGCATAATTTAAGGAGTCTTGGTTCTCCTTCATTGGTAGTTGAAATTTATGCACAATTAGAAAATATCGCCTTCCTTATCCAACATAAATGTGAAATTTTCTCCCTAAAAATATCTCCATATATATTGCAACCAAAGACAGCTTTGATTTGCTCATAATGTACCCACCATCGGCAACTAGTTTTCCTCAATATCAACACTTTCTCATTTTCTCCTTTACGCATGTGTAGATCAACTTACTCACTTTCAACCTCTATTTTGGTCACCAATGAAAACGAAGATATGTCAACTACAAGATTAAATACTGCTAAAAAAAAAATAAGATAACGGGCAAAAAAAAATGAATGAGCAATTATTATCGAATATGAAACCGATGAACTAAATTTACCTCTATTTAACCTTTCAACTCTTCAACCCAAAACCATCATAGAATCTAAACCTATCACCATCACTATTGTTATTCCAACCCTTCTACAGAATTTTTAAATTAAATTTTAAGAAATTTTATTTTCCTAAATGATGTTTCCAAATGCAGCCTCTAGTTTACTTCAGTTTAATTCAAGTTATTTGTTAAGTTTGGACTTTTTGGTTTGTAGATGGTCAACCAGTCAACATTTCAAGTAAATGAAATTATAAATAAACACCATGAGACTCAAATGAATCAAACTCAAAAGTTCTTATATAAACTTGTGTGAAAACATTGAAATTTCATACACCAAAATCAAAAAATTTCCGGTGGCAAAAAATGCCACTTTTTTTCCTCATCTTCCTCTCACACTGCCAACATCTTCACAAACCCTTTGTAACCACAATTGCATCACACCACTCAATCCACCAATTCGACCAAAAAAAAAATAACATTAACCTAAAGATCAAAAAATGTAAGAAAAATTAGCCAAATGAGACCAAATTTGATCAACCAAATCAAATCAAACCACTGTCATTGAACTACCTAATTCCACCAAAATAAAACATTAGCCATTGAACAAAAAGTTTAGAAAATCAAAAAAAATTAGAAAGAAAACAAAACAAAACAAAATTGAGGGAGAAATCAATCATAATGAATTGATTAGATTGTGTAATCCTTGATGGTCGATACCAGTGTTAGATCCCTATACAAAAAACCAAAAAAGTTACCAACAAAATCTAATGATGCTCACACTTCATTAAGACAAAATTAATTAATGTGGAAAGTAAGGATATGATTGAGGGGGCTATGCCCATGGTTTTATTGATGGTTGATGGGTGGCCATGGTCGAGGGGCTGGACAATGTTCGGTGGGTGGTGTCATTTGGCCCTAGGTTTCATGGTGAGCATGAAAGCAGGCCAAAAAGAGTTTTATGGTGGTCTTTAAAGAATTTTGTTGAATACGTGGTGTCTATGATGAATGGTAAGTGTGTGTGACAGAGATATAGGGGGGCTATGGTGTCGGAGATCTTGAGTGGCGGCATAGGTGGGGATGGAGTCGATGGCGTGGAGGTGGGTGGGGCTGGAAGCATAGACAGAGGGGAACAAAGAGCTGGGGAAGAAGATAGAGAAACAAAGAAAGAGGGAGACAGAGAGTACCTCGATGGCTTCGGTGGGTCTAGCTAGTGGTTCATCATTGAATGCTCTAACTAACGAAGAAGGGGTGGCTATGGTTGTGGCAATGGTGTTGTTCGTTGGTGGTAGAGAGAGAGAGGGGTTAAGCAAGGGAGTGAGAGAGAGACGGAGGAGATTAGAGGGCAAAGTTCAATTTGGGAGAGAGATCAAATTTAAAGGAGATATGAGATTGTAATTAAGCCTTTTTTTAATTTGAAAGATTTAAAGAAAGTTTGATTAGAGACTTGATTTGTAAAGAAGATATGAAAGATAGAGATTGGGAAAGATGTGAGAAATTTTGGAAGAAAAAAAGGCATGAAAGATTTCGGAGGAGAGAGAGAGGCGGGAGGAATTGGCTTTGATAGGTGGCGATAAAGGAATGAGGAAGAGAAATTTGGGGAAAGTTAAAAGTCTGGATAATTATAATTAAAAAAGAAAATGTTGTTGGGTTAGAAAAATAAAATTTAGTACTTATTGTAAACCGTAGGATTAATATTTATGAGATGATCTGAACCATCTTTTATATTAAAATTACGTTATTTGTTAAATGTATTTATATTTTGTCTCAAAATAATCCGAACTTCTTTTATCTCTAAAATTGAAACTCTACTCTATTTTATTATATAAATTATTNGGAAATGTTGTTGGGTTAGAAAAATAAAATTTAGTACTTATTGTAAACCGTAGGATTAATATTTATGAGATGATCTGAACCGTCTTTTATATTAAAATTACGTTATTTGTTAAATGTATTTATATTTTGTCTCAAAATAATCTGAACTTCTTTTATCTCTAAAATTGAAACTCTACTCTATTTTATTATATAAATTATTGTCACGTTAACACTATTGAATTATATTATTATCGCATCATTGTATAAATAAATTGATGTCAATATCCCGAATAACAAAAATGTTTCGGTGACTAGAGATGGGATTCTGTGGTTCTCTTTACTAAATGTTTCGGTGCTCTCTCTTTCTCTGAACGCACATCGGAGGCCAAACTACAACCCAAGAAAATCCGATCAACGTCTTTCCATTACTGACAATGGACACCGACATCACCATGGTTCCCGCCGGCGAAGGATCCGGCGCCTCCGCACCGTCTTCTTCTTCCTCTACCAAGAAACCTAAGCGTTTCGAAATTAAAAAGTGGAATGCCGTCTCTCTTTGGGCTTGGGGTGCGCTTTCACTAGTGCTAGCCGTAATCTTCACCGAGACACACACGCACATACTATAGTGGTTGTGTGCATATGATCTGTGTTTCTCTTATGAGTTTGTAGTTCATACTGTTTTGTTGTTTTCGCATGTAATTGGATGCGAACTGTGGATCTATTCCGCGCAGATATTGTTGTGGACAATTGTGCAATTTGCAGGAATCATATCATGGATCTCTGTGAGCGTTTCTAATTCTTTGCTATTTATTTATTTCTTTTTGGTCTGAATGCTTCGTTATATATGATATTCTATCTATTTTCTACCTTTTGTCCCTGTTATCTTATTTGATGAATTTAATGTGTTAATTGGTTCGATTAGGCATTGAGTGCCAAGCTAATCAGGCAAGTGCGACCAGCGAGGAGTGCACTGTTGCTTGGGGTATGCATCCTCTCTTAAACCCTAGCCCAAACCGCTGAAACTATACTAATATTGTTTGTGTTGGACTTAATTTCTGTTGCTAAACATGTTTTCATGATTGGATGGTTTGCAAACCAGAATACTTTACTCTTTTCTTACGGTGCTTCTAGGTGGGCTTCTTCTTGTTATTATGCAAGACTGACATTCGAATTGAGATACATTTTTTAAAAAGGTGACGAATGGAAAAGTAGTGCAAATCAAATATTTTTGTCATGTGATTGAATGAGAAAACTGATAAGGATAGAGTTTATTCAACTGAGAAATGAATGTTTAGCCTTAAGTGTGTATTTGTGGGCCGGTCAGGGTAGTGAGGGAAAACTATATTGCCTTTGTTCTTATTGTGAATGCAGTCCTGGTTAATCATTTCAGAGTTGACCAGCTAACTAAAATGACATTATATATACAGATTTATTGAGTGCAATTCTGCTTGGCTGACAATCCAACCAGTTCATAGGTTGGGTTCAATTGCCTAACTAAGTTTGCATATTGACAAACTGTGGTATACATACTTATCACTTTTTTTAGCTATTTAAAAAAATCAGTCACACTAACATGAAAGCATCATTTGATGGTTTTTCTTGTGTCTTATATTGCCTCTTCACATGATTTATGTACAATGTCCTATACCTTATGATACTTTTTTAATCTTAATATTATGATTTCTATAAGTTCTAGAGGGTGTTTCAGGCTGACGTTTTGAACATCTATAATTACCCTTTTCTTTCCTTTGTTTCCTTTTTCTTGTAAAAATGAAAAGTACATGCAAGAACCTCTTTTTTTTTTTTTTTTTCACTTGAGAATTGGCTTGTTGATGAAGTAAATTGTGATGATTACCTAATATTGCTCTATTTTTATCACAATTTGGAATTTTTTCTGTTTCTTTTTAATAGGCAACTTATGAATATAGATCTCAATAATAATACTATAATTTAGCTATAGTATAATAAAAAAGAAAAATGGGTCACTTATTCAACCATTGGGTCAATTGATCAGGCCCCTCATATTATAAAAAAAATAAAAAATTTATAAAACATAATAATTTAGCTAAAAAAATATGAAACATGTCCACAATGCACACAATTTAGATGAAATCATAAGTTGTATAAAGCGTAAACAACTATAAATTAGACAAATTGATAAAGTATTAAGCATAAAAAAACATAAATTAGACAAATTGATAAAGCATAGAAAAACATAAATTAGATAATATCACACATGATTTGCACAATAGATAAAATCACACTCGATTTGGTGTGTGTGAGTGAGTGTGAGTGGGTATGTGTGGGGGTCAGAGTGCGATTGGGTGAATGGGGGTCTGGCAGTTGGAGTGCATCTGTGAGAAAAGTGTGTGGTAGGGTGGGTGGGTGGCGTCATGCCTCGGAAGTGCTTCTGTTAGAGAGATGGAGCATGGTTGTGCGGTAATTCGAAATGAGAGAGATCGAGTGGGTGTGTTGCACAATGAGTGCATTTGAGAGAGAGAGAGAGGGCTTACCAGGAGAAGGGTGGGATAGAGTTGGTCTAGTGGCACATCGTCCGTGAGAGTGAGACCATGAGAGAAATTGGAGAAGAGATCAATTTAGGTCAAACTTTCCCCAAAAATAGGCTTTTTATTCCACATAAAATCGAACCACCTGAGTCTCTAAAACCGTCCAAGTCACTATTTTTTTAATGGTTTAGTTATACAGGTGATCTAATAGCTGAACTTGATTGGTTAGGGTCCAGTTTATCGGTTTTAACCGCCAACCGGTTCGGTCTTGATAACACTGGATAATACACAACCACTACATGCTAGCTTCTTTCTTTTTTTTTCTATTATATCTACTTGGGAATTGGCTTGCTGATGGATTAATTCGTAATGATTATCTAATATTGCTCTATTTTTTCCCCAATTCGGATTTCTTCCCTTTACTTTTTGAATAAGCAACTCTATGAATATAGATCTCAATGATAATACACAACCACTACATGCTAGCTTTTTCTTTTTTTATTTTTTTTGGTTTTTTTTGTNGGGGGGGGGGGGGGGGGGGGGGGGGGGGGGGGGGGGGGGGGGGGGGGGGGGGGGGGGGGGGGGGGGGGGGGGGGGGGGGGGGGGGGGGGGGGGGGGGGGGGGGGGGGGGGGGGGGGGGGGGGGGGGGGGGGGGGGGGGGGGGGGGGGGGGGGGGGGGGGGGGGGGGGGGGGGGGGGGGGGGGGGGGGGGGGGGGGGGGGGGGGGGGGGGGGGGGGGGGGGGGGGGGGGGGGGGGGGGGGGGGGGGGGGGGGGGGGGGGGGGGGGGGGGGGGGGGGGGGGGGGGGGGGGGGGGGGGGGGGGGGGGGGGGGGGGGGGGGGGGGGGGGGGGGGGGGGGGGGGGGGGGGGGGGGGGGGGGGGGGGGGGGGGGGGGGGGGGGGGGGGGGGGGGGGGGGGGGGGGGGGGGGGGGGGGGGGGGGGGGGGGGGGGGGGGGGGGGGGGGGGGGGGGGGGGGGGGGGGGGGTTCAATCTAAGGAGAGACTTGATCCTCTTTTCTTATCAAATGCCTCCGTAGAAAACCACTAGACAAATCTCTGGTTCGGAAAGGACAACTTCTTTGATCAGACACTTGACATGCCTTTTAAATTGGATTGACTTATGAAACGTGTTTTATGTAATGAGCAGGCAAAATTAATCAGTTGTGTATCTCTGATAGGTTATTTTACAGCTTGATCTAGGGACAGGCTCTACTACTTATCTTTTTAAGGACAGATGATTTTTTTTTTTGAGCAGGGGATCATTATCTTGTGATCAATAGGCTGTTTTTGATGTTTTTCCTATTGCTGATGTTGTAAAAAATTGTGTTTTATCTGAAGTAGTTCGCTTTTTCTTATTAGCTCTTTGGCTTGGTTAGTAAAGATTTTACAATGTTGTGGCCTTGTTGGTGTGCATCTGTTCTGTCGGCCTGTTGGTGTTTTTTATGTCTGATAACTGGTCTTTAAATCATTATGGTAGCCTGGTGTGGCTCCTATTTGTTGATTTGATAGTTGGTGAGCGGGATGAATAAAACTCGCTTTGGTTGCTACACCTGAAATCTTCAATTTGGGAATTAGTGTGGTTGTGGTCAGATTTTAATATTATCTTTCTGACAATTTTCTGATAGTCGTATTGTTTGTCAGTTAAAAGCCCTTTAGCATCTAATGTTGCCACATGATTCAAACTTCAAAGCAGTATGTTGAGATCCCCTACCAGGTAGATCACTCACGATAAATGGTTGGGGAACTCACCTATGAATAGTGAGTACTACATGAATTCATGATGTATTAACTAGAAATTGAAGAAAAAACATTAGGGAGATTTGGCCCCCAGTCCAAGGCAAAGTCAATTTAAACTACATATTGCAACTCTTATGCTTTCTTTAAAACCCACTATGATCTTCCTCATGCTTTGCACGATTTTTTGAGTCACCTGGCCCTTATGGTGATCTGTTTGTTGGAATTGGTTGGCAATTTTATTTTCTCAAAAATTGAATCTTTTGGCCTTTCGATGGCCTTTGGTGTGGATTGGTTGATATTTAGTTTTGTTTTCTGAATATATTTCAAGTCANCCGGCCCTTATGGTGATCTGTTTGTTGGAATTGGTTGGCAATTTTATTTTCTCAAAAATTGAATCTTTTGGCCTTTCGATGACCTTTGGTGTGGATTGGTTGATATTTAGTTTTGTTTTCTGAATATATTTCAAGTCATTTGAAAGCATTGATTTGTATCGCCACAGGTGTATGCAATCATGCCTTCCATTTCCACTGCATCAGCCGATGGCTCANGGTTATTTTACAGCTTGATCTAGGGACAGGCTCTACTACTTATCTTTTTAAGGACAGATGATTTTTTTTTTTTAGCAGGGGATCATTATCTTGTGATCAATAGGCTGTTTTTGATGTTTTTCCTATTGCTGATGTTGTAAAAAATTGTGTTTTATCTGAAGTAGTTCGCTTTTTCTTATTAGCTCTTTGGCTTGGTTAGTAAAGATTTTACAATGTTGTGGCCTTGTTGGTGTGCATCTGTTCTGTCGGCCTGTTGGTGTTTTTTATGTCTGATAACTGGTCTTTAAATCATTATGGTAGCCTGGTGTGGCTCCTATTTGTTGATTTGATAGTTGGTGAGCGGGATGAATAAAACTCGCTTTGGTTGCTACACCTGAAATCTTCAATTTGGGAATTAGTGTGGTTGTGGTCAGATTTTAATATTATCTTTCTGACAATTTTCTGATAGTCGTATTGTTTGTCAGTTAAAAGCCCTTTAGCATCTAATGTTGCCACATGATTCAAACTTCAAAGCAGTATGTTGAGATCCCCTACCAGGTAGATCACTCACGATAAATGGTTGGGGAACTCACCTATGAATAGTGAGTACTACATGAATTCATGATGTATTAACTAGAAATTGAAGAAAAAACATTAGGGAGATTTGGCCCCCAGTCCAAGGCAAAGTCAATTTAAACTACATATTGCAACTCTTATGCTTTCTTTAAAACCCACTATGATCTTCCTCATGCTTTGCACGATTTTTTGAGTCACCTGGCCCTTATGGTGATCTGTTTGTTGGAATTGGTTGGCAATTTTATTTTCTCAAAAATTGAATCTTTTGGCCTTTCGATGGCCTTTGGTGTGGATTGGTTGATATTTAGTTTTGTTTTCTGAATATATTTCAAGTCATTTGAAAGCATTGATTTGTATCGCCACAGGTGTATGCAATCATGCCTTCCATTTCCACTGCATCAGCCGATGGCTCAAAACCCGTCAAGTGTGCCCGCTAGGTATTGTATAGTTCTTCTTTTGTTGATGTTGAAGGTTGCACCATGCAATGCATGCTGAATTCTTTGAATTTCTACCATCTTCTCCAGATAACAGCGAGTGGGAGTTTCAGAAATATGGTCACTAGAGCATGCAGTAGCTGGACACTGGAGCAGGACAAAACAGTTCACGTCCTTCTTCATATGGACTTCAGAGCAGGGTTACACAAAATTCAAGATTTCTCTTTGGTCTTTTATTGCATTGCACTGTAATTGAAGCTATTAAACAGTGAATGTCATTTGTAGGATTGCCAGACATCATTAAAAAGTAAAAATTTGTGGTTTTTCAAATTGCTTTAGAGGATCATTGAAGTGCAATTGCTTGCTTGTTGCTCAACCTCATTATAAACAGTGTGTACTAGGATGTTACAGAAGTCACGATTTCTTGTGAATGCTTATTTTGTCTTTGATTGATATTGCTATTGTCATGGAGTTGCTGGATTATTTTAATTGTTTGCTTGTGCGTTGAACCACATTTGATTATCTGTGTTTGTTCAAACCCATTGCTAATGCAAGATTTGCCTCGTGGGATCCTAATTTGAGTTTGCTTCTTCTTCCAAACCAGTTTTAGGCTGTCCAAAAAATATTCACCCAAGCACAGATAATCTTTTCTATTCTCTTGTATTTTCTCTCCATCCAAAATTAGTGGGGTTCATGTTCATTAGCTACCTGGGTCTCTAAATTTTTCTCAAATTGTTACCACTTCACCTTTACGAAATGTCTGTGTAGTTTCCTCGCAATGCGATGGGAAGTGTTGATCAAGATGAGCTTCATCTAATCTCGTCCACTTCAATTTGCTGGATAAAAATCCTGTATTCTGAAACTACTTACTACTAAACCAAAAATGCAACTGCAACTTGCAACAGAAGAAAGAACATAAGACCAAAGGGCAACAAAGCAATAGTAGAAAATTTGCAACCTTCTCCTTCTATGCCAGGACAAAATTTCATACAAGGACACAATTTGGATCTCGCGGGCATTTACACATACCCTTAAAACTTGAAGAAGAAATTTGGTGGAATAAAGCAAATTAGACTTAATTTGATGAAAGGGATCTTTATTCTTTGTACAACAGGTCGATTAATTTGCAGAAAACAACCTGAATGATTCTAGGATAGGACCATGGTCCAGCTCACATTGAAACCCGTGAATCCTGATGCCACACCACCGCAATTGGGCTTCTCACATGATGAACACCATCTGTCCACTCAATGTACCCAAACGCGGATTTACTAGCACCACCAACCCTCTCCAATCCAACACTACTGAATGTAATCTCATACGATAACGTCTGATTTTCTCCGCTAAACACAAGCCTATTCGGTATTACGCCAACCTCAGTACCCGGCGGAGCATTCACTTTCACCTCATACACAACATCCACCAAACTCCCAACATTTTTCAGAACTCTCTTATATTTAACCACACCATTGTCAGAATCAAAAACCACAGCAAATGATGGGTAATTCAGATTTCCAGGACTACCTAAACTCAGTGAAGCACAATCCACCAAAGTAGGGTCTTTCACAAACACGGCCATTCTACTCGGATCATACCCAATAGCGCAAAGGAATGCGACGTAATCAACAACATTCATATCGTATACCAACCCAGGATCAAGAGCTCTGTTGGGGTCCACGTGTCCAGCGCCATGAACGAACGGCGTTGATCCTTCTCCAGTGGCAAGATCAGTAATATGTTTACCATTATCGTCCAGATTACTAGCAGTGGTCATGAGTGCTGATTTGATAGCCGCTGGGGTCCACTTAGGATAGGCCTTACGAAGCAACGCAGCTAATCCACTCACATGTGGACACGACATTGACGTGCCAGAAATAATGTTGAAATCTACTATTCTCGAATCAGTATCCAGACTCGTTGGACCGATATATCCGGTCCAACCGGCCAAAATATTCACTCCTGGAGCTATAACATCGGGTTTAAGAATCTCAGCCGTACGATAATTGGGTCCACGGCTTGAGAAAGCCGCGACACGTGGCGCCGACGGCGAAGATCCAATCACCGTGCCTCTGAAGGTAATTGTCGCCGTCGGTAACGAACCAGATTTGATGTAATTTCTGATTTTATTACCTGTGGTCTCACCCACCATAGTAGCGGGAATGAGATGGGCATCTGCGATGAGTTCTTCACCACTGTCAGCCAAGTTCGCAAGTACCATTCCCGCTCCACCGGCGATTTGCACGGCGCTTCCTTTCTCTACTCTCGCGTTACCACCACGGTCGCAGAGAACAATTTTTCCGGCTACTTGTGCAGAATTTAACTCCCCTGAGTAACAATATTTGCTTCCACAGTCCTCGGCGTAGACCAGTGGGAGCATGGAGTCTCCAAGTGGATCTCCGGAGTACAAGGACACTCCACCAAAGGACCTACCATCGCCGAGAATCACATCAGCTGGAAACTCCCGATCGATGGTTGAAGCACCGACGGTGAGAATCCACGGAGCGATGTTCACAGCTGTGTACGGATCGGGACCGGAATTTCCAGCGGAGCACGACACAAGAATGCCGTGTTCTACGGCTCCGAAGGCTCCGATTGCAATGGAATCTCGATAGTATTGCGGAGCGTAGCCACCAGCTCCGACAGACAGAGAGATCACATGAACACCATCGACAATCGCTTGGTCCATTGCGGCTAATATATCCGAATCGTAACAGCCAAAGCTCCAACAGATCTTGTAAACTGCAATTCTAGCTTTAGTCGCCATACCTCTAGCTTCACCTTCCGCGTACTGAAAGAGGCTGGCGTTGGGAACCGCAGATCCAGCAGCTGTAGAAGAAGTATGCGATCCATGACCTTCTGTATCTCTCGGAGATTTTAATTCATCCATTGGCTTTTGAAGTCCAGCTTCGTATCCTAAGTAATAAGCTCTAGCACCGATAATTTTCCGATTACATGATGACTTAGGAAAGTCTGGTCCGGTCTCGCAAATACCTTTCCAATTAGAGGGAACTGGAGAAAGGCCGGCGTCGGAGAAGCTTGGGCGTTCCGGCCAGATTCCAGTATCGAGGAGTCCAATGATGACGTCATCGGCGTAATCGGAGTTGGGCCACAGGCCGAAGGAGTCTGCAAGGCCTAGGAATTGAGGAGTGTGAGTGGTGTGGACGTGCCGTATAAGATCTGGGATGACGGAGAGGACGCCGGAGACGCGGCGGAGCTCTGTCGCTTGGGCTGCGGTGAGCCTGGCGGAGAAGCCGTGGATTGAACGGTCGTATGTGTAGAGGATTCTGGATGGATGGTGTGAGGGAGAGAGTGATCGGACAATGGAGGAGTACCAGTGGCGATGGGTGGTGAAAATGGGTGGCTTATGATATTTTGACACGTGGACAATGAAAGTCTCCGGAGATTCATCTGATGTTGATGTTATTGCATGGATAAGGAAGAAGACGAAGAGAAAGGAGGAGAAGAGAGGAGAAATAGCCATTACAGAGCTTCCTTAGAAATTGGAGACAAATGGTGAGACCATTAGGAAGAGGAAAGCGAAAGGGGAAGAGTTATCATCTTATCAAATTCCAGGCCAGGAGCCTTATTCGACCACGTTCTTGGTGGTGATTGGTGGAGCCGCGAGTCTACCTATGTACATTATTGCTTTACCTACTGGGAACCGATCAAAAGTCCAACTTGGGAAGAAAAAAGAGAAAATTCTTGAACACAGAACAGAGGTATCAACACCATAGACAAAAATGATTATGGCAGGATTTGGCACCTGTAGAACACAGCTTCATCTTTGTGAATTTAGAAAAGAATGAAATGATTCTGCTGCAACAGCAGACCATGGAAGATCTGGCCTGCAACATTTCTGGCATGAACTTTTCCTCAATGAATGAATCGCAATCAGGATTGTGGCCAAAAAAAACTAACAAAGGTAATCTTGATTATGCTCCCAGCACGATAGATTTCCTGCAACAGATTGAGACAGAACTCGCAACAATCATAGGGTCAACAAAAGGAGCCGGATGAACATCTAGCTTATCCTCTTCAAAACTTAAAGTTAGTATCAGGTTAAAAACTTAAGCACAATGTATATGTATCTTGATTTAATGTTTGGTATCTTTGCTCACTTTTCTAAAGAATATTTATACCTGGATTAATAATTAGTGTAAAGATTTTAAGTCTCATCTAAATATTCAATATTTGACACTCTTTTTCATATACAATGAGTGTTTTCCACCCAAGTGTTCGCCTATTTAATGCTAGATCGATAGGATAAGTGCTTGGGGATGTGACGAGCACTTATGTGTATCCCCGTGCACCCAAGTTTTTTTAATTAGCATCTGGCACCTGTTACTGAGCATTCAATGTTCGAAAAACAATACTTCGGGGCGTGCCGAGGAGTCATACTTGGCACATTAGTTGTTAATGTCTAGTCATCATATCTGCAAGCTTAGGCTTTAAGGGTGTAGGGATTTATTAATGGACTTGTCTGCATCACTCACATCGTCATAAATAAGTGGTTAAGTCGTATTAAATGCAAGTGTCAGCTTTTGTACTCGGCTCCTCCGAGCCATCAACTCTCAACTCCCTTCCTCGGCGTCCTTTGAACTGCATAACGGCTATAATTTTACACGTGTCGATCTGGAGATTATTGAACCGCCTACAATCCCACCACTCTCTATGTAGAGCTACCCCTCTCCTCAATGGGGAAATCCCCTGAATTTCATACTCATTTATGCCATTACCATTCTACTCATTACCCCAATTACCATTCTTGACATCTAATAGGACTTTAGGCAATTTTAGGCAGTTTAATAATAATAAATGGACACATGGATAGTTACGGTTATTAAGACGAAGAGTTATGTCAGGAAGGGTCAAGTATGCCCCTCGAAGTGTAACATTAAAAGGGTTGAATGACTGTAACAGAGTTATTAATGAGTGTATAGATTCTCGAAACATGTAAAGACAATCATCATTACAAGGCATTAATGGTTGTTGCACTGACATGAAATATTCGATCATTCCCAAAGGTGCTTGCTCCCGACCGATAAACGTTCAAATGTAAATATCAAACACTGAGAGGAGATATTTAATGACCAGTGGACGGACGATGAATGTTCGATGGTTCCCAAGCAAAGGTCCACTCGTCTGAGGAGATTAGACTTGAGAAGATTTCACGGAATAACTTTTATTATGCTGGAATATGAGTACATGTCATTAAATTTTGATATGGGTTCAAAGGCATAGCCCTCATTGCAAACTCATGTATAAAAACTGCTCAAGAAGCTAATCTAAGATACTTAATTTGAAAATAAAAAATATACTATGCTCATGACTCACAACGCCGACTGACTTGAATTCCAGAAGAGATTAGTCGGGTACAAGCCCGCCCCCCTTTTCTAATCCTTTGTTTCAGGTTCATCGTACAGGGTTGTTTCATGCATTGCTATCTCAATTCATTGCAAAAATTCATCCGTGCGACATCGTTCATCTCCTACCTCCAACTTCCTCTTCTATCTCCAAATTCCTTAACACTAATGCTCTAAATACTGTTAGAGATAGTTAGTAATGTAAAAAATTTCACATTGAAAAAGTTAAAAGGGAATGTAAGGGTTTAAAGGAGAAACTCACCAAATTTTATAAATTTAGATGGTGGAAAGATTTGGAGGGAAGTTCCAAATATTTCAAATCAATGGACCTTGATTAGATTTTAAATAAAATAATCTTTAAAGTTTGCTATTTGAAATTATGTTTGACTTTGTTAATCCTAAAGAAATTTGCCATAAACTCAACAACAACATAGTAGGGACATAATTTCCTTAAGGACAGTGAATAAACGATCAAAGCCTTCTAATTTGGTGAAATCCTTGCTAACAAATACACATCATTCTGATACTCTTCTTTGGTTTCCTAAACCCACCACTAGCCCTCTTCCTTTCTGTCTCTAAACCCACCACTATCCCTCTTTCATTGTGATTTCCGTCACCATTCCGTCTTACCTCCCATCTGAAAAACCAGCCTGCATCCATAAATGACCCAATCACAGTACCATTAAATCTCATTCTAGAAAATCAGCCAAACCCTTCAACCACCACACCGATAAGGCTTATCTCAGAAACCCAACAAAATCCAATACTCACAATACAACTTCAGTCGTACAAGACCACAACAAAACTTGTTTCCCAGACATGCCTAATAGGAAAGTTATTCATAAAGAAAAGAACCAATAGGAATGTTGTCAAGACTATTTTCAATCGTATATGGAATACAAGAAATCAATTGGAAATCAAGGATGGAGATGCGGATACCTTATCTTGTAGTATATAAGGTGATTGATTTGCGATTGTCAAAATGCAAATTAATGTGATTTGAGGATACTGATATTCTCTTGGGATCCTATTTTTAGAACAAATTTTTCTTTTTTTTTTTTTTTAAATAATAGGCCTAAATTGATTAGTAAGTCAATATGACACAATTTATACATACACAAACACAATATGACCCAAATAGAATATAATTTAAACATACTACACCATCAAAATTCAGGACATTACTCGTTTAAGAAACCTCTCTGTGCATGCTCATATACACTGTCTCCACATACAACAATGGATATCTCCTTACTGACTGTAAGTAACAAGGAGCAGCCATGTGACCGCCACAAGAAATATTTGGTCCTCCTGACCCCTGATGATATCTGTTTTCAAGCACAGCATTTAATCAGTCCATTCAATCCAACGCCTAGGGTCCTGATATCTACCAGATTTACCTTCTCTTCCTAAGTAAATTCTGAACGTAAAGTCAGCTTAGGGAAAGGAATCCCATTGCACTGCTCACTCTAACAGAGAGAAATATCAAATAGATGCTAATAAGGCCCGCTCCAAGCTGCCTGCTTGGAAGCATGTCATTCTTGGGTAGAAGAACAAGTGCCCAAATGAGTCCTAACATGAGAAATCCCATAGTGTAAAACAAGCTCGTGTCCTGTGGAACTATGAATGAACCAGGTTTCTCTGACCATGCTCCAATCAACATTGAAATCCCCAGGCCAATAAGGGTATTAAACATTGGACCTGCATAGCATCCAGAAAATGCAATCTGCACACCATCTCCGCCATTCAATGCCAATGCAACATTGGAAACCAGATCACCCATTGAGTTCCCCCATGCTAAAACAGTTAATCCAAGGATTGATGGATTAACCCCCATAAATATACCTAATCCCACCAATAGAGCAACAAGCTCATTAGCAAGCATGTAGAACCAAACAATACTCATCAAGAACCCCCCTACAACCCATGGAAATAAGAACCTCTGAGGTGGATGATCTGATCTAGTGTACTTGTACGCAAGGATACCAAGTGTACAACCAGCTGAAACACCAACAAAGTAGGCAACTTTTCCACTTTGAGAACCCACAGCGTCTTGGGTATTCCATAGAAACGACAGAAGAATTGGAGCCAATGAAGCACTGGCTACAGCATACACCCTCGACCACCTTTGCTCCTCAACTAATGGAATTGTTAGCCTTCTTGGCACTGTCAATGGCAACTCAAGAATCGCACACAATTTGGAAAAGGAAAATGAGGGGTGGTCAATTTCCATAGTCTCATCATGCCAGCCCCACAAATGCCACTCACTTTCTGGCACCTTCAATGCTTGGTTTGAATAAATTGCAACATTTGAAGCCCACATCCACTGCGGCACAGAACTATGTGACTGGGTTCCATCACTTTCTGTCTCTATGTCAAGCAAAGAGTTGTAGATAGAGTCATCCTCTTGGCCCCCATGAGAAAATATACTTCCTCTGACTGGAAGCAATGGTGTGACAGCATCCAATTTCAACCTCCTCACATGTTTTCTCAAAATCTCATTAGCAGCAACAGCAAAGGCATAAACCACATAAATGGATACAAATGCAATGGCTGCCCCAATGCTCACCTTACCAACAATCAGAATCCACGAAAGCGACATCAGAGTAATGATGAAGAAAGTAATATCCCTAATAAAGCATTTTCGATCTATCTGAACCCCATGGTCAGATACACAGAGAGACACAGTCCCAACAACAACACAAGTAACAAACACTGCCCCACCCAACACACTGTTAAGACCAACCTCACCAGTGCCCGTCCCCGCAAACGCAGCAATACTTGCAAAAACATCAGGGGCTCCATTCCCTAGTGGAAGCAATGTAACCCCAGCAACAGTGGGAGGTAGCTTCAATAGACTTGACAGCTTCTCCAGCGAACAACAAAAGTAGTCGGCTGCAGTGTTACCCAAAAGATAGAACAATGTAGCAAGCCAAATACACAAGATTACATAAGCAAATGCACTTCCATTGCAAGCACAAAAGTAAAACTTCACATAATCAAAGAATCCGCCAGATGAGCACTCTGGGTGAGCTTTCACGAACTCACAACAACTCGAGTAACCAAAATGATCAAATAATCCAGCACAAAATTCAGGGTTATTCACAGCCAAATTGTTAGGACCTGACCCATTAACTGAATTGGTTGAATTAACACTTAATTCAACCATTCGCCGTTCAATTACCACCGTATGGCTTGATCCACTTCTTGAGTTCCATTGATTATCAGAAAACAAAGATGATTGCCGGAGAAGTGGATTTCTCAGAATATCATCTCGATTATAAAAGAAGACAAGTATGACCAGAGTACAGAATCCATTGAATATTCCACGAATTCTGGGACGAGTTTTACTCTGTAAATCACTCAACGGTTTCATATCCAATCTTTGTACCTCAAATTCACACCTACTATTCACAGAGACGAAATCTCAAAGATTAAATGACAAAGGTTTGAATCTAGGGTTTCGGTTTAGGAGTAACGAAACCCTTGTCCTGTGAGATGGACAGAATTCGAATCAAAATGCAACATATATTGATGATTCTATGATCGTAATGAGCTAAATTTCAAACTAAAGATGAACAAAACAATGAAAATTGGCGAAGATAAATTCTCACCAATGATATTCTCGGTGCATGAAGGGTAAACTTAGTATTCGAAATACTTTCCAAAAAAATTAAGGGTTCAAAATGGGTACTTCAATGAATACGTGACAATCTGTGGCGAACCTTGGGATCGGATTTTCTTCTTTGGCGCATCTTCCACGAAGTTTCTTGGCAATCTTGTAGTTTTGTTCGCTTCTTTTCTGGTGCCCCGAATAAACCCGGATGAAGACGACGTTAGGACGCGTCTGCGTTTGGAAGCTTGGTCTGAACATTTACCCAGTAGGATAAAAGTTGGGTCTTGATTGTTTAACTAATAATATTAGACTTAATTTAAAAAAAATTCATTTGTTGTATTTTTTATTATCATGAATTAAATTGATAATAATATANAAGATAAAAGTTGGGTCTTGATTGTTTAACTAATAATATTAGACTTAATTTAAAAAAATTCATTTGTTGTATTTTTTATTATCATGAATTAAATTGATAATAATATAAATTAACATTAAAATTTATTATTAATCTACTGATATATATTTATTATGTCATTATATTATATTAATAAATTCAGTTCTAACTTATCTTAAAAGATAGGTGTGACGATGTTTTTGTCTCATTTTGGTATATTTAAAATTTATCTCTTTTGTTAGTTTTTATTATTTATTTAATCAATATCAATGAGATAATTTTTCACAAAATAAATAGTAGAAGCTAGCAAAAAGGGTTATATTGAAAAAAATTTAATACTTTAAGAATATAATATAAGAAATTAATCTTTAAAGATTTAAAATATTAATTCTTAAATTATTTGGGGGTACAAAGTATAATTTCTCCTAAAATTTAAGATATTTATTTAACACAGAGTAAGTGTGGTATCACTTAATCAGATTGCATTTGTTGTTCTGTGTCAGTTTGTAGCATTAACTTTTCGATAATATATTATGGGTTAATCTCATTTTGCACCCTGAAAGATTGTTCGAATCTTAATTTACACCCTTAAAGATCAAAAATTTTAATTTACACCCTCAAAGATAGAAATTTGTATCANACCTTTTCGATAATATATTATGGGTTAATCTTATTTTGCACCCTGAAAGATTGTTCGAATCTTAATTTGCACCCTTAAAGATCAAAAATTTTAATTTACACCCTCAAAGATAGAAATTTGTATCAATGTGCACCCCCAAAGATCAAAAATCTTAATTTGTACCCTCAAAGATAGAAATTTGTATCAATGTGCATCCCCAAAGATAAAAAATCTCAATTTGCACCTTTAAAAATGAAAATTTGTATCAATGTGCTTTTAAAATTAAATTAATAAATTATACCTTGATCTCCTCATATTTGTCACTTAATCATTTGAACTCCTTTACATTTAAAGTATTCCCCTTCCATCTCATGACGTTTATGCATGTGTAACACATAACCACTTTTCGTTGATATATATTAATATAATCGTTAAAAAAATATAATTTTATCCTAATATAAAATTATAANATATGGAAATTTGTATCAATGTGCACCTAAAATTAAATTAATAAATTATACCTTGATCCCCNTAAGGGTATAAATTGAGATTCAAACAATCTTTTGGGGTACAAAATGAGATTAACCCATATATTATTGTAACCAAACGAGCCATGCCGATTTCGATCCCAGAATTCTATCATCAGGCGTCTCTTTTGGTGATGCTTGAATCAATACGCCAGCGTTTCTTTGTATCTTCTCCAAACTCCATCACACTCTCTCTCTCTCTCTCTCTTGCTCGCTCGCTCGCTCGCTCGCTCTGTCTCTCTCTTCACCATTTCTACTCTTATTTCAAGTNTTAATGAAAATGGGTAATGTGTTATACGTGCACAAATGTCATAAGATGTAGGAGTAATATTCTATATGTGAAGATGTCTAAATGATTAACTAACAAATATGAGGGGATTTAGGTATAATTTATTAATTTAATTTTAGGTGCACATTGATACAAATTTCTATTTTTGAGGGTGCAAATTGAGATTTTTTATCTTTGGGGTACACATTGATATAAATTTCTATCTTTGAGGGTGCAAATTAAGATTTTTGATCTTTGGGGGTGCACATTGATACAAATTTCTATCTTTGAGGGTGTAAATTGAGATTTTTGATCTTTGAGGGTGCAAATTGAGATTNGGGTATAAATTAAGATTCGAACAATCTTTCGGGGTACAAAATGAGATTAACCCATATATTATTGTAACCAAACGAGCCATGCCGATTTCGATCCCAGAATTCTATCATCAGGCGTCTCTTTTGGTGATGCTTGAATCAATACGCTAGCGTTTCTTTGTATCGTCTCCAAACTCCATCACACTCTCTCTCTCTCTCTCTCTCGCTCGCTCGCTCGCTCTGTCTCTCTCTTCACCATTTCTACTCTTATTTCAAGTTCGTATCATCACCAACCCTTTCATTCCATTTACTTCTTGATAATTAAATTCACACAATCACGCACAAACACATCTATTATCATACATCTGATTCATCTCCGAAAAAAAAAATAATACGAGACTGTGAAATATATGCAGAGATGAGTTTCTCAAAGAAAGAGTACGAGTTTTTGAAAGAGATCGGTATTGGCCCTCGCAATCTGGGTTGTTACGTGAATGGCGCGTGGAAGGGAAGTGGTCCTGTTGTCTCTTCTGTTAATCCAGCTTACAATCAGGTTTTGATTACTCTATTTCTTTCATTTCTTGTATTATTTATTTATTTATTTATCTAATATCTGAAATTCATCTCAGTGGAATAATTTCAGTTCTTCCAATTTTGTGGAGATCATCATCCTATATTATATATCTGAACGACGGATATGTTGTACATTTGAATAGTCGGATTATATTAATTTTCAATTCCATCAGTAAATCGAAATCACTACAATCTTGCTCCATAACACCGTGATGATACTTATTANGGATGGCGCGTGGAAGGGAAGTGGTCCTGTTGTCTCTTCTGTTAATCCAGCTTACAATGAGGTTTTGATTACTCTACTTCTTTCATTTCTTGTATTATTTATTTATTTATCTAATATCTGAAATTCATCTCAGTGGAATAATTTCAGTTCTTCCAATTTTGTGGAGATCATCATCCTATATTATATATCTGAACGACGGATATGTTGTACATTTGAATAGTCGGATTATATTAATTTTCAATTCCATCAGTAAATCGAAATCACTACAATCTTGCTCCATAACACCGTGATGATACTTATTAGAATACTTGTTTTTCTCTTATTTCGCCCATTAGAGAATTTTAATTCAATAAGGCTGAGAAGTGAATTATTTTTATCTCGTTTATTTCTGCAAGGACAAAGGATCCATACTGCATAGTTTCATATATTGCTTTCAGTTGAAGTTCATGTTCATCTCTGTTGTTGAAACAGACAATTGCCGAAGTTTTAGAAGCTTCAGCTCAAGATTATGAGGAAGGCATGCAGGCTTGCTCCAAAGCAGCGAAGATTTGGATGCAAGTGAGTACATCACTTGACACAGTTGCAACTGAATTAACTGGGAAGAAATTTTTGTTTGAGATTCTGTATCCTAGAATTTTCAACTCTTTAAGACTTTGGTACTATAGTATAAATTAAAGCATTTAATGTATAAAAAAATCAAGTGGATTGATCTTGAATGCTCCTCCCCCTTGGGATGAGTGCTTCAATTTTTTCTCAGATTCCTGCGCCAAAGAGAGGGGAAATTGTTAGGCAGATTGGTGATGCATTGAGAGCCAAACTCCAGCAACTTGGTCGGCTTGTGTCACTTGAGATGGGAAAAATACTTGCTGAGGGAATAGGGGAGGTTCAAGTATGTTTATTTACTTGCCATGTATTGTAAAATGGTTCAATCTGCTTCAATCATTTGTTGCCTAGCTACTATTTTTTATAGTATACACAAGAAATTAAATATGGAATGCTTGCAATAGTTCTCTTAAAGATGTCATTACTTTGATAATCACTTCAGAAGGGGCTTATAAGGGAATGCTCCCAGATAAACTGCCAAACTGTTAACTATTCTTTTAGAATTTCAACTTCTAACTTCGTTTTGACTTGTGATAAATACTCCATATGATTTTGGGAATTTGTTGCTATCCTGTGAAAATATTATTTACGTGGTATTGGTTTTGATCAAGCAAATAGTAAGGTAGAGCTCACTGGAATGGATTTAATCTCCTGTCCATGGGATATCATGGTCAAAATGAGCTATAGTAGATGACAATTCTCTCAAGCATTTAGCATTTGTTTCGATTGATCATCAGTTTGAGTTTCACAAGAAGTGCATCTTGCGTCGGTCACAAACAATTTTAACAAAATAAGGAATGAGAATAGTACCTTTCTTATGTGAATACTAATTGCTTGTATATAAGCATCAGCTTTCACTGTGGATTTATGTGACATACATGATACATGTCCTTCACTTGGATTCCCTTCTGTTTTTAATTGTTTGAAGTGAAACATGGTGTTGCGCATGCTCTGACAGTGTAGCATTATTGATCTGTGTGNTCCATGATACATGTCCTTCACTTGGATTCCCTTCTGTTTTTAATTGTTGGAAGTGAAACATGGTGTTGCGCATGCTCTGACAGTGTAGCATTATTGATCTGTGTGACTTTGCTTGTTTACAAATCTCACTTTTCATTGTGCATTTGACATGCATATCCTTTTGTTGGATATCCTGCTACTGTTTCTCGTAGAACTGGAGCATGCTGGTGTCAATGCATTGACTTTGGGAGTGATATTCTTTGTAGGAAATTATTGATATGTGTGACTTTGCTGTGGGGTTAAGCCGGCAACTTAATGGATTGATCATACCTTCAGAACGTGAGTTAAATTGTTAATTTTTCCCATTTTATGCATTATTTTTTTTATCAGATAGCTCATAGCTGTTATATAGCTCTATATCATTAGTTCCGACGTATCACTGTTCAACCAAAGTGTGAGATTTTTGGATTAAGAGGCTGCTGCTGTTGTTTCTTCAGCAGGGTTTTAAATTTTAGGGAATGAAAAGCCGCTAAATTCTTTTACAGTATTTTAGAGTTTATACCGAATTAATATGGTTGCGTTGGCAACAGGTCCAAATCACATGATGTTGGAGGTACGCATAATGTTTGCTGCTGAATTTCAAAAGTATTTATATTCATCTTACTATATCACGCATAATTTCTTTGCACAGATGTGGAACCCTCTTGGAATAGTTGGTGTAATCACCGCTTTCAACTTCCCTTGTGCTGTTCTTGGTAGGTGTCATTCCGTTTCCTAACAATTTGGCACTTAGATTGGTGCCTGGAAGCTTCAAATTGTTTTGTAAATGGTGTCTGAACTGAATGAGACAGTAGGAATTTTCGTTGCTTTTTTTTTTTGTTTGGTGGTGCTACATGCAGGTGGTTTTAAACTGTATTACCGGCGAATACAATGGTTACACGACATTATATTCTTTATTGACCACAATCATTGATTCCTCTAAAAAGTGCAATCATGGAAGATCAAAATCTTCTTTCTACCAATCCTGTATTTTAACTTTGGATTGGTGCTACATGCTATGAGAATCAACATTTTTCTTTGTCTCTTTGCAATGACACTTGTATGCCAAAAAAATTGGGGAAATATGCTCCATGTTTCTGTGGGATTACTTTTCTTATTCAGCTTCCTTTGAACGGGTGAAATAAGTTATAGGATTTTATTCATGTCCAGCGGCTGTCAACTCCTGTCGGCTCCCATGCCTACCTATTTTGGCCACTGCAACTATTCTTCTATTTTTGCAGAACAATTTCTAATTTATTTCTGTTTCTCAATTCTCTGGATTCCATACCTTACATTATTTCATGATGTGTTTTTAAGGAAGGACACTAGTTACGATCATGCTGGTGATCAGATAATTTTCTTAGCTTATCAATAACAACTAACCTCCATTTTTTAACATACATGCACATGAGCGCTCACGTGTGTATTAACAAATTATGGAAAAAATGTGTGGTAATGCCTTTTTCTGGATTTTGTAGAGCTGCTTTGTCCAACATGTAGTTTCTTTATTGAACTGCAGTACTAGCAAGGATCAAAATGTCGTGTCGACACGTCCGAAACGTCCGAAACGTTTCGGAATTTCAACACTCTGAAACGAAACAGTAGTTAAATCACAAAATTCCAGTGTTTCGGTCGAAACGGTATTGAAACTGCATGTTGGACANGCAGTTTCTTTATTGAACTGCAGTATTAGCAAGGATCAAAATGTCGTGTCGACACGTCCGAAACGTTTCGAAATTTCAACACTCCGAAACGAAACAGTAGTTAAATCACAAAATTCCAGTGTTTCGGTCGAAACGGTATTGAAACTGCATGTTGGACAAAACAGTGTTTCGGTCTAGTACTGTACTAGATTAGGTTTGTTGAACTGCAACACTAGTGNCTGAAACGAAACAGTAGTTAAATCACAAAATTCCAGTGTTTCGGTCGAAACGGTATTGAAACTGCATGTTGGACAAAGCAGTGTTTCGGTCTAGTACTGTACTAGATTAGGTTTGTTGAACTGCAACACTAGTGATTTTCTCCATTAATTCTAGAAGTCTGGAGTTTGTCAAGCCTATTACTTCCAGAAAAGTTAGCTGTGGGGTTCATATAACGCAGTTGTCGTTATTTGACTGTTACATTTGTGTTTTCTGCTTCGTATTTTGGTTTGGCTTCTATGATGGCCAATATTTTTGACCAAATAGTAGTTTTCTAATTGAAATGAATAGTTCCTCCTTTTCATGTTCCTAACTCGATGCTTAATGTTGTTCTTTAGGATGGAACGCATGCATTGCACTCGTCTGTGGCAATTGTGTTGTTTGGTAAGTCCGTGACCATAAACTTCTGCTCTCTAAATTTGGCTGCATCAACATATTACTATGAGAGGGAGACATCAAGAAATTCTGTCTTACTCTTGTAGGCTGCTGAAAGTCTTCCATTTTTTGATTGATGATGTGTTTAGACTGGAAAATGTATACATATTTATGTGCAGGGCACCGCATTTACTACTACTCTTTGTAAATCTATGTTTGAACTTCCCAACTTCATATAAGCATGCTTATATGCATTCCATTGTGTTATGTATCTGGGCTAAATTTTCATAATTTAAGTTGTCTTTGGTGCACTTGAAGTGTTTCACTTTGGTTGACTTAATGGACATATAGGTAGGTCTTTAGTTGTTAAGTTCTTTCTTTGATGTTATAATGTGGACCGTGGGACTTATTCTCGAAATCTTCTACAAATCATAGGGATCTCAGTTCTACGAAGATTGGAAATGTTCAAAAAATGAAGCTCTTGCACCATAATGTTGAATAGATTTAGTGGGTTCATGCTGAAACTATTGCCACAAATCATCTGTGCTGGCAAATACCTAAAGCATTGTTTCTGATAACTGATTATTGTTCCAATATGGTGTCTCAGCTGTGGCTGTCACAGTCATAAACTATTTGGTGTGACCATCAGCTTATAATTTCATTCTAACATATAATCCTTTTGTGTGTGTGTGTTTCTTTTGGGGGCCCAAAGGTGGGGGGTTGCATTTGGCATCACTATAAATACCAGCAAGAGTGTTTTACTATTAATATAAGTTTACTCCTTTGAACTATACTGTGTCATGAACACAGGAAAGGTGCTCCATCTACACCTTTGGTTACCATTGCTATGACAAAGCTAGTGGCAGGGGTTCTAGAGAAGAACAATTTACCAGGTGCAATTTTTACTGCCTTTTGTGGTGGAGCGGAAATTGGTCAAGCTATAGCAAAAGATACCCGCATACCTCTGGTTTCATTTACCGGAAGTTCAAAGGTAATTTCCAATGTTCACGAAGGGGTAACTTTCTATAAATTTTGTTTACAGACTTTCTGGAAAAGGATTGTGATTATTTACGAGTTCTTCGGAGGGATACACTTGATTTTTCTTGGTGATGCCACCCTTCGTGGCAAACTGTACTCATTCATCTTCTTCTTTTGAGTTTCATTTGTTCTGTTTATGCTTGTTTATGCTCCATTTGAACTTAAGATCCTTCTGTGGCTCATAGATGGTGCAATGTATTTCTTTTACTAAATAGATAAAACAATGGCACTATATCATTTGTCTCAGAATGCCTTTTGTTTATTCCTCAAACAAACCGAAAATTATTTTAACATACATACGTTTAATGCCTTTTGTTTAAGAGGTCATTTTGCTTCTCACTAGAACTTATTTTTCAATTTTAGTATGGCTGACTCTGACTGTATTCATTCTGTCAGAATTTTTATTAATTCCTCTCCTGTCACGCCTGTCGACTGTAGGTGGGTCTAATGGTTCAACAAACAGTAAATCAGAGATTTGGGAAATGCCTGCTTGAACTAAGTGGCAATAATGCCATAATCGTCATGGATGATGCTGACATCCAACTTGCTGTCCGCTCTGTTTTGTTTGCTGCTGTTGGTACTGCTGGTCAGCGCTGCACAACATGCCGTAGACTGGTAATGTAAAATAAATCTTAATTTCTGATGCATTTTGCTTTGCTTGTATGAGCCTAATACTTCTGTTTTTGTATTTTTTTGTTTCCTTCAAATGAAGATTCTTCATGAAAGTGTATATCAGACAGTACTTAACCAACTACTTGATGTATACAAACAAGTTAAAATAGGGGATCCTTTAGAGAAAGGTACCTTACTTGGGCCACTGCATACACGTGCTTCAAGGGAGAATTTTGAGAAGGGCATAAGGATCATCAAATCTCAGGCATGTGCTCTCTTTATTCTGGGAGTTTTTTTTTCTATGCTATTGCCAAATTATCAATGTGTTGAGGCACTCTTGTGTTCTATCTAAACTATTTTTTTAGATCAAACAATAAGATTATTGCTTTGCTAAGTAATTGTTTTCCCCTTGTCACTATTCTTCACTACCATCCAATGCAACTGTAGAAACATCGCCTTCACAAACACCAACAGTGTTGCAAAAAGTTTTACCTGACTTTTACTAAATACAATTATTGGTTTTAAGAAATCTAAATCCTGGGCCACGCCATCAGTTCTTCCTTGAGAACAGAAGCTAACAAACATGACATGTTTCTTTTCTCATTGAATAGTACTTCAGAGAGCAACCAATTGATTTTTTAGGCTTTCTTCAAAGTTTAGATGGTTATTCGCCAATCACAATATCATGGAGAAGCNTCCTTGAGAACAGATGCTAACAAACATGACATGTTTCTTTTCTCATTGAATAGTACTTCAGAGAGCAACCAATTGATTTTCTAGGCTTTCTTCAAAGTTTAGATGGTTATTCGCCAATCACAATATCATGGAGAAGCAACTTGCTTTTCCTGGCATCTTTTTTTGAAAATTATTTGAACAGTCGGCATTTGCTGATGTATGTTCAAGAGGTTATGGGAGCATCTTCAAATAAGCCAGTTACTTTTTAAGTTGCAGAATCTATCTATGTCCTTATAAAAGCACCTATCACTCATTTGCTCACTGTTTGTTCTTGTTGCTTGTTGCTTGTTGCTTGTTGAATACAATTATCATAGTGCTGAAGCTGTGGCATTTGTTCCTTGAAGTGTCTGCTGTTGTTTTTGCATTACATTATGATATTTTCCTGTAGCTATTCGGACAAACATCAATCTGTCTTGCTTTTGGCTTTGGTCTTTTAGTCTTAAAGTTTGCTTCACCAGGGAGGGAAGATCCTTACAGGTGGTTCCATCATAGAGTCTGAAGGGAACTTTGTGCAGCCCACAATAGTTGAAATTTCTTCAAATGCCGATGTTGTAAAAGAAGAGTTGTTTGGTCCAGTCCTTTATGTTATGAAATTTCAGGTAGTCTCTCTGGAGAGTAGGTTATAGCTTCCTTAATGGAGAATTATTTATTGCCATCACACAGTTGTGTTATATATGCTCCTATGAGTTTCCTGTTTCTTGATGACAAAGTGCTTGTTTGTACAGACTCTCAAGGAAGCAATTGAAATAAATAACTCTGTACCTCAAGGATTAAGTAGTTCTATCTTCACTCGTATGCCTGAAGTAATTTTCAAATGGATTGGGTGAGTTTATTTATATATATGGATGTATGTGTCAGCCTGTCCTTGTTTTTAACTGAAACAAATAAGAGTTACCATACTTTAGAGGCTAGTTTCTGTAAGATATACAGAGCTTTTTACAGAAAGCTTACCTTTTTACTTCTTCATACTAGAAATAACCCTTTAGTAAAACTGGTGAGATAAGCTGTGAAATTTTGTATGCATACTTGTTATGTCTTTTAAAGTCCGTTGCATTTACCTACAGTAACTTCTCACATACTTTGTTTTGTTGCAGGCCTCAAGGAAGTGACTGTGGTATAGTGAATGTAAATATACCAACCAATGGTGCTGAAATTGGTGGTGCTTTTGGTGGTGAAAAGGCTACAGGGGGTGGCCGTGAGGCTGGAAGTGACTCTTGGAAACAGTATATGAGACGTGCAACTTGGTAACTCCTGTTTGATTCTGTGTTGCAGTTTTCTTTTCACATGGCTGACTCGATTCACTTCTTTTTATATACACACTAGCGGTGACTACGATGCACATTACTTTCAAACATTCTCCGCCACCATCCCCACCCTATTATTGAACAACTACATGCTTGTTTGATTTTCTTAAAAAAAAATTAAATGTGAATTAGGTAACAAAGATAATGAAAAACTTAAATTTAAAGTAAGATGGAGGGATTATTTAGGTAAGCCACATGGAAGGATTTAATTGGATGAGATTAATGTATTTTTATTAATTGATTCAAAATTAATATTTGAGGAGGGATCTCCCTCCTAATTTGGTTGCAATAGGATATTGTATAGATTCATGATCATTGCAATCTGAAGCATTTATGGGAGGCTTGAGCTCAAATTTTAATTTTCTATTACCGAAATTTTGTTCTAATTGGCCTATGTGTTCCTGGCAGTACAATAAATTATGGGAATGAATTGCCACTGGCACAAGGAATCAGCTTCTGCTAGAGGTAGGTTTGCTTTTTGGAGAAGCACGTTAATCTTTATCAGGAGAAGTGTACCTTTTTTGACATAAAATTTACTGTAGATATTTTATTGTGGTGCTTATTTTTTGTTTGTGTTTTGCTTGTAGAATCTACAGCACTTCTGGGAAATTAAAATTTCCTGCTTTGTTGCTTTGAGCTGTTCTTAAGAAAGTGTGAGGTTGTTCGGATTGTTCTTAAGATGGCATCTGGGCTATGATTTCTCATGTTAGACAGGATTTTCTCTGTTTCTCTCTCTATGGGATAGTAAACAATGAATAAAGCAACTTAACTGTTACTTTTGTCTGGTGCATGGTTTATGTATTTGCTCTAGACTCGTAATCCTAAGATTAATTGGAAGAACAATCTGGTAATAAGTATATTTCTGCAGCGAATTGTGGTTCCAGCAGCACCATTCGACTCTGTCAGCCAATGAATGCTGTAAGTGACTGCACCACTTTGAATCTCTTGTTTTACATGTTTGTTTTTCATACAATCTAATCTGAAAAGAGACTCCAATCCTCTTTGACATAGTAGGTTCATGGGTTCATCCATCCCTTTATGTTCTTGCGTCAACTCAGTGATGCACACAATGAGGTTTTGATTTCCTGAAATTTTACGTTGTAGCCTTTGAGGGCTAACAAGAGGCGGTTTCCATGAACTACAATTCGCGATTGCTTAGAGGATTAGAACTCCAGGTTGGCTGAAAGAGATTTTTAGCATTATAAAAGGAACTGTCTTTGTCTTTGAAAATGATTGATGGTTACGCAGTCCTAAACAAACAAAACCTAAGCACCCAAACCCTGCTGGAGCAAACTCCTAAGCTCCTCTACTCCACCCAATTATATTGCTTTTCGTCACTTCTTTTCCTTGAATAGTTGTTTACCTACTAGTTATTTATAGAAATGAACTTCTAGCCATCCAATTCATATAATAAAAATACATATATAGCACCATGGCTCACAAGTGTTTTTTTGTCATTTTCTGTATGTCAATGCATTCCATTGCAGAGAGTCAAAGATCTAAACTCACTATAAANTAAGCCAGTTACTTTTTAAGTTGCAGAATCTATCTATGTCCTTATAAAAGCACCTATCACTCATTTGCTCACTGTTTGTTCTTGTTGCTTGTTGCTTGTTGCTTGTTGAATACAATTATCATAGTGCTGAAGCTGTGGCATTTGTTCCTTGAAGTGTCTGCTGTTGTTTTTGCATTACATTATGATATTTTCCTGTAGCTATTCGGACAAACATCAATCTGTCTTGCTTTTGGCTTTGGTCTTTTAGTCTTAAAGTTTGCTTCACCAGGGAGGGAAGATCCTTACAGGTGGTTCCATCATAGAGTCTGAAGGGAACTTTGTGCAGCCCACAATAGTTGAAATTTCTTCAAATGCCGATGTTGTAAAAGAAGAGTTGTTTGGTCCAGTCCTTTATGTTATGAAATTTCAGGTAGTCTCTCTGGAGAGTAGGTTATAGCTTCCTTAATGGAGAATTATTTATTGCCATCACACAGTTGTGTTATATATGCTCCTATGAGTTTCCTGTTTCTTGATGACAAAGTGCTTGTTTGTACAGACTCTCAAGGAAGCAATTGAAATAAATAACTCTGTACCTCAAGGATTAAGTAGTTCTATCTTCACTCGTATGCCTGAAGTAATTTTCAAATGGATTGGGTGAGTTTATTTATATATATGGATGTATGTGTCAGCCTGTCCTTGTTTTTAACTGAAACAAATAAGAGTTACCATACTTTAGAGGCTAGTTTCTGTAAGATATACAGAGCTTTTTACAGAAAGCTTACCTTTTTACTTCTTCATACTAGAAATAACCCTTTAGTAAAACTGGTGAGATAAGCTGTGAAATTTTGTATGCATACTTGTTATGTCTTTTAAAGTCCGTTGCATTTACCTACAGTAACTTCTCACATACTTTGTTTTGTTGCAGGCCTCAAGGAAGTGACTGTGGTATAGTGAATGTAAATATACCAACCAATGGTGCTGAAATTGGTGGTGCTTTTGGTGGTGAAAAGGCTACAGGGGGTGGCCGTGAGGCTGGAAGTGACTCTTGGAAACAGTATATGAGACGTGCAACTTGGTAACTCCTGTTTGATTCTGTGTTGCAGTTTTCTTTTCACATGGCTGACTCGATTCACTTCTTTTTATATACACACTAGCGGTGACTACGATGCACATTACTTTCAAACATTCTCCGCCACCATCCCCACCCTATTATTGAACAACTACATGCTTGTTTGATTTTCTTAAAAAAAAATTAAATGTGAATTAGGTAACAAAGATAATGAAAAACTTAAATTTAAAGTAAGATGGAGGGATTATTTAGGTAAGCCACATGGAAGGATTTAATTGGATGAGATTAATGTATTTTTATTAATTGATTCAAAATTAATATTTGAGGAGGGATCTCCCTCCTAATTTGGTTGCAATAGGATATTGTATAGATTCATGATCATTGCAATCTGAAGCATTTATGGGAGGCTTGAGCTCAAATTTTAATTTTCTATTACCGAAATTTTGTTCTAATTGGCCTATGTGTTCCTGGCAGTACAATAAATTATGGGAATGAATTGCCACTGGCACAAGGAATCAGCTTCTGCTAGAGGTAGGTTTGCTTTTTGGAGAAGCACGTTAATCTTTATCAGGAGAAGTGTACCTTTTTTGACATAAAATTTACTGTAGATATTTTATTGTGGTGCTTATTTTTTGTTTGTGTTTTGCTTGTAGAATCTACAGCACTTCTGGGAAATTAAAATTTCCTGCTTTGTTGCTTTGAGCTGTTCTTAAGAAAGTGTGAGGTTGTTCGGATTGTTCTTAAGATGGCATCTGGGCTATGATTTCTCATGTTAGACAGGATTTTCTCTGTTTCTCTCTCTATGGGATAGTAAACAATGAATAAAGCAACTTAACTGTTACTTTTGTCTGGTGCATGGTTTATGTATTTGCTCTAGACTCGTAATCCTAAGATTAATTGGAAGAACAATCTGGTAATAAGTATATTTCTGCAGCGAATTGTGGTTCCAGCAGCACCATTCGACTCTGTCAGCCAATGAATGCTGTAAGTGACTGCACCACTTTGAATCTCTTGTTTTACATGTTTGTTTTTCATACAATCTAATCTGAAAAGAGACTCCAATCCTCTTTGACATAGTAGGTTCATGGGTTCATCCATCCCTTTATGTTCTTGNCTTGTAGAATCTACAGCACTTCTGGGAAATTAAAATTTCCTGCTTTGTTGCTTTGAGCTGTTCTTAAGAAAGTGTGAGGTTGTTCGGATTGTTCTTAAGATGGCATCTGGGCTATGATTTCTCATGTTAGACAGGATTTTCTCTGTTTCTCTCTCTATGGGATAGTAAACAATGAATAAAGCAACTTAACTGTTACTTTTTTTCATTTTTCGGGGAAATCACTGTTACTTTTGTCTGGTGCATGGTTTATGTATTTGCTCTAGACTCGTAATCCTAAGATTAATTGGAAGAACAATCTGGTAATAAGTATATTTCTGCAGCGAATTGTGGTTCCAGCAGCACCATTCGAGTCTGTCAGCCAATGAATGCTGTAAGTGACTGCACCACTTTGAATCTCTTGTTTTACATGTTTGTTTTTCATACAATCTAATCTGAAAAGAGACTCCAATCCTCTTTGACATAGTAGGTTCATGGGTTCATCCATCCCTTTATGTTCTTGCGTCAACTCAGTGATGCACACAATGAGGTTTTGATTTCCTGAAATTTTACGTTGTAGCCTTTGAGGGCTAACAAGAGGCGGTTTCCATGAACTACAATTCGCGATTGCTTAGAGGATTAGAACTCCAGGTTGGCNGTGCCATTGAAAATGACGCAAATGACTGTCGAGGTCAACTCAGTGATGCACACAATGAGGTTTTGATTTCCTGAAATTTTACGTTGTAGCCTTTGAGGGCTAACAAGAGACGGTTTCCATGAACTACAATTCGCGATTGCTTAGAGGATTAGAACTCCAGGTTGGCTGAAAGAGATTTTTAGCATTATAAAAGGAACTGTCTTTGTCTTTGAAAATGATTGATGGTTACGCAGTCCTAAACAAACAAAACCTAAGCACCCAAACCCTGCTGGAGCAAACTCCTAAGCTCCTCTACTCCACCCAATTATATTGCTTTTCGTCACTTCTTTTCCTTGAATAGTTGTTTACCTACTAGTTATTTATAGAAATGAACTTCTAGCCATCCAATTCATATAATAAAAATACATATATAGCACCATGGCTCACAAGTGTTTTTTTGTCATTTTCTGTATGTCAATGCATTCCATTGCAGAGAGTCAAAGATCTAAACTCACTATAAAGTATGAGGGTTGGTTTTAACGTAAAGTTTGTTTATTCCATTTTTTTTGGAAGTAAATATTCAACCTAAACTATTACACCACGACATCATTGTACGTGGGCGGGTGGGTGGNGTATACATTAATTTTATATAAAAATACAATGATAAAATATCTATTTATATATTTGTATTTTAAAAATATATTTTAAATTAAAAAAAATATATTTTTTCATCTTAACTAAAATGAAAATTTTCGACTCAATACAAAGACATGACTCGAACTCGATACGAATTTTATAACACGAACTTAATTGTAATTTGACATGAATTTGAAAATGACCCGACATACGAACAAAAAATAAAAAAAAACTCAAATTCAGTTCAATTAGTCAAACTCAAAATAAACAGGTCAACTCATAATTCGATACACGATATAATTAGTTAAATGAGTTAAATTAGGTGTGATTAATGTTCGACACAAACCCGTAATAACTTAACCCGAATCTAATATGACACAACTCGATTGTCACCCCTAATCTTAGTCAACACAAAAAGAAAAAAAAAATAGTTATTTTTATTTTCTATTCATCCAACTAAACATAAATAAAAAAAAATGTATCATTCTTATTATCCTTCTTTGAAAAATAGTGAGTGTATTTCTTATACTTTACGTCCTTACTTTTTCCATCATTTCTTTCAAACCAAACATAACAGAAATGGGAGACAACGCCTAAATGGCAGCTCTTACTATCACTAGGACAGTTAATTCTTGTAAGAAAACCAAAAATTCCAGCACGGGTTTTCATTCCTATTACGAAATTCACCAAATTTTCCTTCTAAATTCGATCCAAGCATCCGAGTAATTCCTATAAAATTCACGCCCAATCTTACTTCAAATCAAAATATGGACAACGAACGCAGCATTATTTCCTTCACCCAAAGCGGAAAAGAGAATAAAAATAAAATGAAAGTATATTTCATTCATGATAATCATTGATCTGCTCTATATCAATTTCACACATAAATAACTAAATCAAGGATCTAATTTTTTATTTCATTCTTTTTTCCAAATTAAAGCAGTCGAAATAGANTATATTCATCCAACTAAACATAAATAAAAAAAATGTATCATTCTTATTATCCTTCTTTGAAAAATAGTGAGTGTATTTCTTATACTTTACGTCCTTCCTTTTTTCCATCAATTCTTTCAAACCAAACATAACAGAAATGGGAGACAACGCCTAAATGGCAGCTCTTACTATCACTAGGACAGTTAATTCTTGTAAGAAAACCAAAAATTCCAGCACGGGTTTTCATTCCTATTACGAAATTCACCAAATTTTCCTTCTAAATTCGATCCAAGCATCCGAGTAATTCCTATAAAATTCACGCCCAATCTTACTTCAAATCAAAATATGGACAACGAACGCAGCATTATTTCCTTCACCCAAAGCGGAAAAGAGAATAAAAATAAAATGAAAGTATATTTCATTCATGATAATCATTGATCTGCTCTATATCAATTTCACACATAAATAACTAAATCAAGGATCTAATTTTTTATTTCATTCTTTTTTCCAAATTAAAGCAGTCGAAATAGAACTTACAATTATTCCCTCCTCTTTTTCCCCCTTTTTTTTTTTTGGGTAAAAGATTTTCCGATTTTCATTCACCAGCTTCTTCTACTGTATGATTATGATAGGACGAATCCTCAAGCAGAGACAGAGAAGGAATACAACTTTCCGATCGAGTGAGCATGGTTCGTTTAATTTTTCGATTGTTCTTCATCGGACTACTCGGTAAAGACGTCAACGATCTCGGAGAATCCAAACTCCTCCTCAGAATCTGTCTCATCGCAGAAATCAAATGAACAGCAGGGTTCGAAGGCGGCTCTGATGTGATGAACTTTTTGCAGAAGTTCATGTGCTCAATTAAGGCCTCTTCGGTGCTGATCAGCCTCTCGCGCCTCACAATTTCGTCTTTCACGGCCTCGGCGCAGAGTCCGCAGATCCATTTGCCTTGATAGCGTTCGCGAATTCTGTCTATGTATCCCAAAGTGCACTCCTCTGTCAATCCACAACAGTCGCATTTCGCGAATTCAACCTCGATTTGAGCGGTGAGTTTCGTTGTCACGGTTTGTGATTTTGCTGCTTTCATCACCTTTGCATCGCCCATAACTGTAGCACACAGACATCAACGAAGATTAGGAAAAAAAAAAGTATACAGATAATGATATCATATCATACAAAGCAAATTTGATAAGAGATCTCATCTACCTATGCTCTAATAGCAAAACTATGGATCAGAATTACCAGCAGAAGCAGATCGAAAGCAATATATACGATTTGTTGTTTATATATATCGATATACTGATGCTATTTTGAAATCTGTTGGGATTGGAAATCGGTTTTTCTTTTGTTATCTCTCCTTTTCCCACTCTCCCTCTTCGACCTTGGCTTCTTCAGGAAGGAAAAATCTATACAAGAAAGACATTTCAGAAAAGCACGAGAGAAAATCAAGAATATCTTTCTTTCTTAGCTAGAATTCAGATTAAACGGAAAATCAAATGTACATATATATATATATATATATTTGATTGCTTAGAAAAAAGAGAGAGAATCAAAAAATGAAATCAACTCAGAAATGGAAGAACAGAAAGGACTGCCTGCCTCTTTCCACAGAAACTTTTAGAGGGGGAAAACAAACATATAGATTGGAGAGAGAGAGAGAGAGAGGGAGATTTTTTACTAGTAGTTTCTTTGGGGTAATGGTATGGGAAACTGGTAAAGGTGGCAGAGGCCAAAAAGAGTGGCTTCAATGATTAGCGGTTTGGTGGGTGGACTGTAATAGAATCCACGTCAGCAAACCAAGCTGTCAATTTCAAATTAAATTATGGCCATGAGTTATGGGAATTGCCAGCTGTGCATTATCGGGTTCATTTGGAGACCTGACTTCTCCTCCTCCTCCTCCTCCTCGCCAAAAATGTGCTGTTCGGAACAAATCTCTTTTATTTTAGCTTTATTCTATTTAGAGTTTATACCAATACTTTCGTGCCATGTGTAAACCAACGACGTGTACGGTCTATTCTCCAGCTCACAATTACCAGGCCTTTCTAATTGAAATTACTGCTGTTTTGTCCTACTCTGGAAACCGTTTAAACAGCATTTATTACCATTAATTTCGCTAATTAGAGGTTTTTTGGTCAACACCCATTATAAAAAGAGCCGTGCTTTTGTATCAATTTTTCTGATTTAGTTTGTTGATTTAATTTATTATAATTTTAAATTAATTATAGGCACTATTAAATATTATAATTTGATTTTAATTCATTGGAATTGTTCTAATAAAATTATNAATTTATTATAATTTTTAAATTAATTATAGGCACTATTAAATATTATAATTTGATTTTAATTCATTGGANAGTTTGTTGATTTAATTTATTATAATTTTAAATTAATTATAGGCACTATTAAATATTATAATTTGATTTTAATTCATTGGAATTGTTCTAATAAAATTATGTTTTTAGGTTAATAAATTAGATCAAACTCTTAGATGCAAATAACATGAGAGTACAATCAATGTTAATTGTAATTAACTGAATTTATTGATCTAATCAATCACAATCATTGGTTTGATAATATACCCCAATATTAGTTGGGGTTCACTGTATATCTGATTGAAATGATAGATTATATAAGTTAATAAATTAGATATAAATAATATTAAAATGTGAATATTTAGCTAGAAATTTTAATCAATTATAATTTTTGATTAAAATTATACTCTATCTANTGGTTTGATAATATACCCCAATATTAGTTGGGGTCCACTGTATATCTGATTGAAATGATAGATTATATAAGTTAATAAATTAGATATAAATAATATTAAAATGTGAAGATTTAGCTAGAAATTTTAATCAATTATAATTTTTGATTAAAATTATACTCTATCTAATATTTGAATTCACATTTAATTTTATAACTGCAATGAATTAGGTTCAGAATTAGACATTTATCTAAGAAATATTCAGGATAGTGATAGTAACTATTAATCCCAAGATAATAATGAGTTAAACTATGAGGTTAAGGTAAATCGAAACACCAACCTAAGATGAAAGTGAGACCATNGGTTAATTAGACATTTATCTAAGAAATATTCAGGATAGTGATAGTAACTATTAATCCCAAGATAATAATGAGTTAAACTATGAGGTTAAGGTAAATCGAAACACCAACCTAAGATGAAAGTGAGACCATTTTATTGGTTATCAAATCCTNAAGATAATAATGAGTTAAACTATGAGGTTAAGGTAAATCGAAACACCAACCTAAGATGAAAGTGAGACCATTTTATTGGTTATCAAATCCTCCCAAATTATTGGGTTTTAAAAGTTGTAAATGATACGAGTGAAACCTAAGCAAGCCAAGTCGTGCAGTCCTTCGTTATTATCTTCTAGGCAACAGTGGGGGATAAGAGCTAAGAGATTATGGCGAAACTCTGCGGTGCCGAATAAAAANTCGTGCAGTCCTTCGTTATTATCTTCTAGGCAACAGTGGGGGATAAGAGCTAAGAGATTATGGCGAAACTCTGCGGTGCCGAATAAAAAGAAATTGGTACGGTACCACTATTTATTATTTGTATGATAAAATTATAATTTTAAAAAATAGAAGTTACAATTATTTAAATGGATCATGCTCGATCACGTATATACATGATTGATCATACACTTCTTTTAAATAATTATAACTTCTCTTATGAATTGGTACTTAACTTTTAAAAGTTGTAAGTTAATATTTGACAATTATACTTTGGTATCAATTCTAATCGATCATAACCTTTAAAAATTATAATTTATACCTTTAAAAAATTGTAATTTAACTTTAAATTATATATTTTGGTACAATACATCCTACTGCACTGATAATTTTTTTTTTTTGATGCAGTACCGATAACTTTGCATTTATGCAATGTGTGTCAGCGAGAGATTAACAGTGAAAGGTAAACAATCAAATATACCACGTATATATTTTACCCTTTACGAATACTTTTTTTTTAATATAAATAATTTATTTTTAATTGAATTAAAAAAAAATTAGTCAAAATACATATAAGTTAGTCCAGACACTTCTAATCAATAAAACAAATAATAATAATAATAATAATAATAATAAACCGCATATATATTTAACTAGTTGACGTATGCATATGTTACACGTGGATCATTTTGAATATCAAATGTTATATATTAGTGTTCTAAATATTATCAATTGATATCAACTAAACCCTGGTACCTAGAAGAGCTGATTGTATAATGAAGTTTTTTATGTAAAATACTACAAGCAATTAGCACATAACCAACTTATAAAATGATTCATGTTACATATAAGAAGAAAATCAAAAAATTATACCAAGAAATGAAATGATTAATTTATATAAAGTCCCGTCAAAAATTAAAAATAGTCACTTAAATGTCTAATCCTTTCAAAGTAGTAAATACTTGAGGGATTTTTCACTTTCTGTTGATTGTCCAATAAAATTTTCATAGTTTTATATTTGGTTTTTNCATAAATATACAGCTATCCTTGGTTCTATATTTTCACGGAAAGTCTAATTTTGACATCTTGTATTATGAATTATATATATACTACTTGTTGCATTTGTCTGAAGGTACAGAGTAATAAAAAATGATAACACAATAAACATTTTTTTATCCATATCTAAAATCAAATCACAAACATAAATGAGATATTAATGAATTTAATCATCGGTTGTAGTAGGGGTAAGAGGTTATAATAGGAGACGGTAATAGTTGTGATGGGTGGCAATAACTGTGGTGGCGGTGGGTGGTAATGACTGTGGTGGTGGCAGCAGTGGTGGTGATGGTAGAGGTAGTGGTGAGACGATTTCAAACACTATTTTTTTTAAAATAATTATGAGAAATAATTTGTATATGTACTTTTAAAAAGTTACTTCAAACACACTCTTATAAGCCAATTTTTTTTATTAAATTTAGAGTGTTAATATTAGGTGTTAGATTAATTTTAAAATAAAATTTAAAGAGATATGAACCGTGAAAACAAAAGTTATTTTATTTATCTTTTGAAATTTGAATTGTAAGTTATTTTGTTTATTTTTTGAAATTTGAATTATAAGCTATGACTGATCTTAGAACACGGGACATTCATTAACATTATAATTAAATGAGTTAAATTTTTCATTAATATCATATATGTAGTGTAACAATTTAAATTTTTATAAGACATAATAATAACATTTTGATTAAAAAAACTCATCAATTTAACAAATAAAAAATAATAATGCGCTATTTAACACATTTATATTGAATATAATTAATTTTAATTTTATTTATTTAATTAATTATCTCAAACTAACATGCTTTACACAGGTATTGAATCAAAAGTTTAAAACTAATTTTTTTTTATCTCTTAAGAAAATCCACACTATTATATTCTTATAAATTAATAATTTTGTAATAACTTTAACTAATTAAAAAAATAATATTTTATAAATGCTATTTGTAGAACTTTTTTTGATTGAACATATTTTGGCGATATACTTTTTGAAAAATTAGATTTTTAATTTATATTAGATTTGACTCGATTTTGATTACATGTATATAAATTAATGATCAATTTTGATTACATATATATAAATTAATATTTTTTTTAGTCAATTCTATTATATTTCGTGAATTTATCTATAATATAAATCAGAAGTTTATCTGACGGTCCCAAATAAACTCATCTAACGACCACCAAATCTCTTTGAAAATCATTCAGAATAAATTTTACCTTCATTTTCTCACTCTTCACTCTCTTTCTCTCTCTCTCTCTAGCAATGGCGAATAGAGGAGGGGTTTAAGACCACCCTGATATATTTTTTTTGGATATTCTTAATTGGGTCCGGTGTAATGATTTATGAAAAAGAAAATTAATTGGGTCAAAAAAGATGGGTACTATAACAAAAAAAAAGGTTCATACCAAATCTATTAAAATTAGTAAACTAAAATTGATTACTTAGAATATTGATATGATTTGTTGGAGCTTCATTTGGTTCAAAAATTATAAAATATACAGTCAAAAATGAGAAAAATATAGAATTTGTAAGAAGATTAAATATTATAGAATATTACTTTTATTTGTCTCAAATCTATAATATTAAATAAGACAGATTTTAATAAATTTATTTGACAGTATCAAATAGATTCATCTAACAGTCTCCAACATCACTCTCAAAATCATTCATATTGAATTTCTACTCTCCCAAATCCATCACTTTCCATATACAATGCACCGTATCTTCAGGCACAAGTTATCCCTAGTTTATATAATAAAGTAATTTACAATTCAAATTACCATCACCACCACCACCACCACCACTGCCGCTGCCACCACTATCTCCATTGTCGTCACTACTACCACAACTGTCACCACCGCCGCTACCACCATCGCCATCGCCACCGCCACCACCGCCACAATCGCTGCTACCACCACCTCTATCACAATCATTGCCACCCACCACAACCATCACCGTCTCCTATCACCACCACTACAGTCCGCCACCTTTCATCGATAACTGTTCCTTTCATCCCTTCCCAGTCACACACGTGGGTGGTCGTGTGCATAAAGCACAAATAACTATCAGGAGAGGGGGAGGGAGGAGGATTTGATGTCCATATAAAATCATTTATAGTACTCTTATTTTCTTTGGTAGCAAAGGAACTTGCATTTAGTGCGGAGAAAAATGAAGGGATGAGTCATATATATTATCATTGATCCTAAAAAAATACATAATATTTATTCATGTGCGTGTGTGTGTGTATGTGTGTGTCATAAAGGAAAAAAGAGGGGTATGGTGTTCATTAGTATATTCTTATTTTCTTGTCAATTTAACCATTCATAATTATCTACCTACCTACGATAATTTTTTCTTTCATTTCTTTCCAGTCACACACGTGAGTGGTTGTGTGCATAAAGCACAAATAACTCTCAGGAGGGGGGGGGGGGTAGTGAAGGACTTGATGTCTATATGAAAATATTTATAGTGCTCTTATTTTCTTTTGGTGGCGGACGAATTGTATCAGCGAAGCTTGAAGTACCAGGGACACTATCTTGGGGGAGGTGGCTATTACATTTGTGTGCCTTTTTTATTTGGAACCTTGAGGTAGTGATGTGAGCCAATTACTTGTTGCTCCAAAATCGAAGCTTAGTTACTTTTTCCCTAGGGTTAATAACTTAATATTTGCAGACTCTATACTGAATACAAATATCTTTAGAGAGAGTTAGGCTGATGAACGCCCCAGCAAGCCTGATGATTTTTTAGAAGCCCTCCACTTCTGCATAGAATAAAACAATAAATAAAAATAAAATAAGAGGGAAATAAAGCAGGAAAAGATAAAAAAAAAAATGTCGCCAGAAACCCTGTGGAAAGTAATCATTTTCTCCCTTCTACCTCCTCTTCACCAAAAAAAAAAAAAAAAAA